CAATCTTTACCTTTCCATTTAGGGAAATATTTATACATAAAGTACTCTTGAGCAAAACTCAGTCACAACTTCATCATGTGGGGAAAAACAAGAGTCAGTACTGCAAAAGAGATTTGTGATGTTGTTTCTCGGACCAGATTCTGTATTAGAGTCATTTAGATGAAATGGTTTTAATAGAAATGGGTTGTGGGTTGCATAGCAGTAGGCTTTTAGGCATGTTGAGGCAGATTATTTAGATCTTATTTTGCTTTCTTTCCCTGATGAAGATATAGCCAGTGAAAGTTTTAACACATTTTAAAAAACATGGTCAGTGAAATAGGAAAATTGCTAACATGAGTTTTCACATTTGTGTGTGTATGTTAAATAAACCACATGCAAAGACCTCCTGCCAAAGAACTTCACTGATAAAATTGGACTTGGTGGGCTTCCCTGGTGGCGCAGTGGTTAAGAATCCACCTGCCAGTGCAGGGGACACGGGTTCGAGCCCTGGTCTGGGAAGATCCCACATGCCGCCAAGCAACTAAGCCTGTGCGCCACAACTACTGAGGCTGTGCTCTAGAGCCCCTGCTCCACAGCAAGAGAAGCCACCGCAATGAGAAGCCCGTGCACTGCAACGGAGAGTAGCCCCCACTCGCCGCAGCTAGAGAAAGACAGTGTGCAGCAACGAAGACCCAACGCAGCCATAAATAAATAAATAAACAAATAAATAGGACTTGGTAGTGTTAGTAAAGTGAAAGTTCAGCTATGATATTTACAAATTGCATGTTAACCTTTGATTGTTTTTTTTAAAGTTTCATTATACAAAATTTCAAACTCTCACAAATAGGTTAATGTAATAAACTTCCATAAAACCAGCATCTGGATTCAACAGATACAAGCATATGGTTGGTAATTCTTTTATCTCAACCCTTTCCCTCTTGCCTCCCCACACTTCTGCTGGATTGTTTTAAAGGAAATCCCGGATACGATATCTTTTCATCCATGAATACTTACGTATTCTAAGAGATAATTTTTTTTAAACAAATAACCACAATACCAGTATCATACTTACTGTCTTTATCCTCCAAGTTTTAAAGTAACAATCAATATTATTACTATTAACATGATGATTACTGAATTCTCTTTAGGATTTCTTTATAGGTCCTTCTGTCTTTGGATATAGCCTACTTGAGGATATATTATCATGTTTTAAAGTCTAAAGTAATTATTTTCTGTGATTAAGCTTGATATACACAGGTTCATTTGATTTGTTTTTGGTTTATTTTGCATTTTGATTATTATATGATTATTATTATATGATTTATTATTATGTAAAAGATATTCATGTAAAACAAAGTGATTCAGAAGTCTAATGTTCCCTTCCCTTTCCTTTTCCTTTTATAATCAGTGGAGCTTGTGAAGTCCCTGATACAATAATGATAATTGTATGCATATGTGTATTTTGAGAGAGCCAGTTATTCTCTGATTTTTTTCAGATGTTTTATGAGCAAAATCTATCTATCTATCTATCAGCATACCTAAACATACCACTACGATAGAGCAGTGGTTCTCAAACTCTTTTGGTCTCAAGATCCCTGTAAATTCTTCTAAAAGATTCAGAAGCGCTTTTATTTGCCGTATAAGAGAATAAAAGAATTTAGAAATATTTCTTCACTTAACACACCCATTATGTGTTAATATAAAATTTTTTTCATGAAAATAACTGTATATTCCAAACCCAAAATATTGGTGAGAAAAGTGGATTTGTTTTATATTTACATACCTCTTAAGTGTCTCGTTTAATGGGAGGCAGCTGCATTCAAACAGGTGTCTCATGTAGCCTCTGGAAAACTCCACTGTACACTGGCAAGACAATGAGAGTAAAACACTGTTAGTGTTATGGTGAAAATAGTTTTGACCTTGCAGGGCAAAAACTATTAGACTGTCAAGCAGAGCTCTGGGCCTTGATTTAGATTTGTTGTGTTTGCTTAGTTTTCTGTTTATTGGTTCGTCCTTCAGAAGGATGGAGTCTACTGAAGATCGGTGTCTGGTCATATTCACGTGTTTCTCTGTCCTGCTAGTGGAAGTGCTGTCTCTCCAGTCCCACCCAACCCCACCTGCCCTTCGCGGCCGTGCTGTGGGAGTGTGGGGAGACGTGGTGTCTCCTGCGGGTGGGCACATCCCTCAGTCTCCCGCTGTGACGTCCTTGCCGCGGCTCCCTGCGCCACACAGGGCTAGGTCACCTTGTGGGGCTGGTCCCTGTCTGGGAGGCGCCCGGCTTGCAATCAGCCGATCAGCCGTTCACACCCTTGTTGATACTGTTTCCGGTGTTTGTTCCTGCATCCCGCTAGCCCAGGTGTGCCCACAAAGGCTGTCCCTGCCCCACCCCAGTCCATCGCCGCATAACTTGTGGCTGACCAGTCATCATGTTGGTGGAGGGTGATGTGGCGACCCTCGTGGTGACCCTCGTTCGTGTAAGCCCAGCGGTGTCTCTTGCCGCTTTCCTCTGCACTGTGTCTTGCTTACGGGACACCTCTAGCCGCGCTGTGGCTACTGCGCCCTACTTTCTACTCCTGCAGCTGCCTGAGAGCTGGCCAGGGAGACAGGATGAGGGGGAAACCACTTTGCCCTATGACTGCAGCTGCCTCCCCACACTCGCACTCAAACCCACCCTGAGTGGTTGATCCTGCGGTAGCACATGCCTGTCGCTAAAGTTAATCCACGGCTGTCTAAGCACTTCTGGCTTAGACACCCTGATGTTGAGAATGACTTTGAGCGCTTGTTTGGCTCCTACCTGCAGAACTGTGGTAATTCTAGAACTAATCCATGCCCATGGGCATCAGCAGCTCTGCTCTGATGATTCTAGATGACCAGGATTGCATGTTCTATGGCCCTATTAAGGAGCCGTTTTGCATACCATGGCAACCACCGTGACTGGGAATTCGGGTGATGGGAAATCTGGATTCGATTCCATACAGGAAGCCTGGTAATCGACTACTCCAACCTAGGAAGGTAGCAGATTTGCCACTCGCGACCCGAGGATGGGGAGGCAGTGATGAAAAACAACACTGGACACTTTTGAGGTCCGGTAATTGGAATGAGTCCACTTAAAATCCTTTAAGGCAGATCTATTGTGTGGCAAATCTGGTACTGGCAGCTGAGGTAATCCCCAGCTTCAGTGGCAGGGTATTGAATTTGGTGCAGTTAAAATGCTGTGTGATCTGCCGTGCGGGTCTACGGATGGGGAGCCTCCGTTCCTATCCCTACCCCCTACTTCTCAGTGCCCTTCTGGCTTCTAGCCGAGTGTCCGTGGGCTGAAGTGTGCACTTGAAGAAATTAAAGTACTCCAAGCAGGCGCAAGCTGCCTGCACACTGCTGCTGGAAATCCTGGAATGGGAGCGTGGTTCTGTTTTGTTTGTGTTAGAATTTGATTGTGGAGGCCGATTAGATGGGATGGCTGGGATGCTCGTACTGCACCGCTAGAGCTCAAAGTCTTAGATTGTTGCAAGACTGACCAGAGTGAAAGCTTTTGCCATGGATGTTTTCATTACTTAAGGATGAAGGTGAAAATGGGAGGTTTGAAGAGATTGTCATCCCATGTTGTCTGACCATAAACAATGCCGACTGCCCTCGTTATTTCCGGTAATGTGCCGGCAGCTTATTGCTGGCAGCTTATGGGAAACCAAAGTCCTTCGGATGGTGGTAGCTGGAGTGTCTGGTTCCAGAGCTGAAATTTGAAGGCACAGCGGTGTTGTCTGTGCTTAATTTGACTCAAGCTGGACAACCCTACGCGACTCCATCACAGACAGGATTGGCACTTTGATAGCTCTTACGTGGGTGGTGGTGCATGGCCTTTCTGTGTTGCTGGAGCGATTTGTCTGGCTCCTTGATAACCGGGGAGACTAGTGTGCTCACAACTTAGGTTACCCCCAGTGCTTGATATCCCTAACTTCGACAAATATTTCTTAGCCACCCAGGATTGAGCAATCACAAGTCTGTGACGCTCTTAAGGGGCTGTAACTGCACCACGCTTCTCAGCATGTGCGTATCCCAGTCTGACAGGTGCTGGGGATTCATTATTAAATCCATTAGTGCTGGGCTCTGGGTTGCAATTATTCCTCATTAATGAGGAATTCCCTGTAAGAGAGTAGATCAGAAGCTTGCATTAAGTCCCTGCCTGTTGTTCATACTGCCCATCGCCCCTCAGATTGCCCACTTGGGGTTGGCATTTGGTCTTGGTGGATTGCCGAGAAGATGGTCTAAATGAAAATCGCAACCAGGTTTCGGTAGGTGGTCCTGCAGAAAGACCGCATTAAGGACCGAGCAAGCGAGCTTGAGGGATAGCTTTCGGCCATCTGTATATCACCCGCCACCCCAGGCAAGACTGACTCTAGTGCCATGAGAATCACTTGGGGCGGGGGTGGAGGGAGTGAAGGAAGAGCTGCTGCCCTTTGGTGGCCGACCCGTAGCCCTGAGCTTCCGTAGTTTCTGCTTAAGGTGGCCTCTGGCTCGCCTCTCTCTGGCCTTCGTGGTCTTGGGGTGCCCCCTCCACACTCTATTGTGTGTGTGTCTGTTCCTGTCTGTCTCTCCCTCTAGGGCCGCTCTGCTGTTTCGATGTGTTTTTGTGAAGTTTAAACTTCACAAAAAGGACCGGACTTAGGACTTTAAACTGTTAGGACAGGAATGGTGAAGTGATTTTGCATATTTCTATCTATAATCTGTTAGTTATGAGAAAGTACAGTTTCAAGTAAACCACAGTTTCCGTTATTTTCAATTTTGATTTATTTACAGAGCTCTCATACAAAGGGACAGTTGACCTTTTTATATAATAGAAAATTTTTAAGTTTCAGATATACTAGATTATCATCCTGTTCACACTTTTTAGTTTTCCATGATGTTGATTAATGTTTTACCTAGTGATAGAGTCTTGCTTTAACATGCAGTATTTTAGTTTTTGGTGGCCTATTATTTTTTTAAAAGTTATAACCAAAGATAATTCAATTTTTCTTTTTTATTAATAGACATATGTAGAGTGTGTCGGTCAGAAGGAACACCTGAGAAACCTCTTTATCATCCTTGTGTGTGTACTGGCAGTATTAAGTTTATCCATCAAGAATGGTGAGTCATCCTTTTAGAAAATTTTTATGTCTGAGCTTTACTGTCATCTATGTAAGGGATACTGTTTCAATGAACTTTCTCTGTAACTAGTTATTTCTTTAAAATTTTTTTTGTGAAAATTTGGAAATTACCCGTATTTCTTATTACCATGCCATGTCATTTTGGTATATTGTCTTTCAGATGCACGTGAGTACCCATTTGTTATTTCTACCATGGTGAGCTTATGTTCATGGGAAGTGTTATGGTGTTCTAGTTTTGCTTGGCATGATTATAGTTTACATTTAGGAAATGCTTTGTGTAAGGTAATAACTCAGTGCTTGTATACATTTTAACTCATTTAATCCTTACAACAAAACTGCAAGGTGGAGTATGATTATGATTTTATGATTATTCAGATGAGGGAACTGAAACATTGAAAGGTTCAGTAACTTGTTCTGTGTCAGACAGCCAGCCAATTAGTGATAGACCTAGCCACCAGGTAGCAGTATCCTTAGACCAATATTAGAACTGATGTTGATGCTTGGAGGTTTTTCTATATTCAGTTATCTTTGAGGACGTTACAATTTACTTTGATTAGTTAATTGTTCAGTTAATTGAAACTGCTTTTTAATAGAGGAAATACATGTCATTTTTATCTTTATCTGTTATAATTCTGTACTCTTAGAGGGCATTAATGATAAAAAGTTTAGGACTTTCTAAATTTAAAATTGTAAAAGTTCTGTGATATGTAAAATTTTAGTAAAGCAATATTAGTTTTCAATGAAACCTTAAAAGTTTTTTTGTTATAAACACTATACTTATGAATGTATTTGTAATTGCAGCTTAGTTCAGTGGCTGAAACACAGTCGAAAAGAATACTGTGAATTATGCAAGCACAGATTTGCTTTCACACCAAGTAAGTTCTTTCGAAGTTTTCACTGCATTTCTAGGTTATAACTGGCCACATAAAGGTGTTTAAACAGTTTTAAAGCAACTGTGTTCAGCTTAATTTGTCTTTTATGGTAATAGAAAGTATTGCTATAACATTTTGGAAAATATTTTTAAAAACTACACGTCAGCTTTTAATACACCACAAGTCAGCTTTTAACACACCACACGTCAGCTTTTAACACACCACACGCACGTGATTTAATTTGTGGGATATTTCTTTTTTTTTAGACAAGTTCAAACGTGTACAAAGGTATAATGAAGCTGTATGTAACCATCACTCAGTTTCATCCATTTTCAACTCATAGCCTTTACATGTCATTCCCTATGCTCTTGTTCTCACCTCTCCATCCTTATTAAAGCAAATCCCATCATTTATGATTTCATCTGTACATATTTTAGCATGTATCTCTAAAGAGTAATGGTTTTTTAAAAAAAAATACAGCTATAATACCATTATTTACCCAGAAAAATTATTGATGCCTTGAATTTGTCAAATATCCCATCCGTGCTCAAATTTGGGACATCTTTTGAGTTTAAATTATGTTGGTTGGAATAATAATAAAGACAAATACTTAACTCACTTTTTAAAATAAGACTTTTTAAGCTCAGTATTTTGTAGGCTTTGGTAAATATTTTGCAGATCTTTAAAATTCTAATTGTATTTATAACTCCTTTACCTATTGATTGATACTTAATATTGTTCATCTTAAATAAGTAGAGGTTTATACTGGCAGGTTATCAATAATTTGAAGCACATTTTCATTCTCTGATCCTAGTATATTGCTCCCCCCCCCCAGAGATTTTTTTATGCTTTAGTTTTTGTTTGTTTTAAGCATCTTGAGCTGCTGAGTGTAAATTCTGTATATCAGTTAGTTTTACTTTGTCTTTATGTGATGAGTGTATATAATTAAAATCATTACAGTTTCACTTTTGAAGCTTTGTATTCATAGTGCTCAAAAAATGTCAATTCTGTTATTTTGTAGTCTTTAATTTTCTGTAGGGCATAAAAACTGTACAGCTTAAGGTTTATTGCAAACTGCAAGACTAAATAATTGAATATCTTCATGAAGTTTGATTGATAAGAAATACTCATGTGAGCTTCTTTATTCTGAGGCCAATAAAAGCTTGTGTTTGTACCTTTTAGTTTTCATTTGACAGTCATGTGCTCTGTTTATCTTTTTCAAAAACTCTATTTACTGGTTTAAATGACTTGCTCCTGTATATCAAGAATCCTCTAAAGTACTGATCTTTGTGGGTATGTTGTAAAAAGTTGCTGTTTGTTACTTGTTCACTCCTTTGTGTCTATAGCTGTGAACAGTTTTGTAATAGTGCTCTCATAAATTTCACATCACTGATTTTAAAACTTTATTTATCATAGCTCTTTGTTTTGGCCTTACTGCAGAAAGAGGCCTTTGTTCCTTCTGTATGTTTTTTCGGAGGAACCTGTGGTAGAGCAGTGGTTTTCACTGGAACCATTTACAAAAGAAATCTTTCTAAAATGTGTGTACATAGGTTCTGGTACCAATTCCAACATGTGTGTGGGGTGGTTTTCCCTACACCAGTGAGCAGTTCTGCAGGACACCGGCTGGGCGTCCTACGGTTTAACCCACTTCTCATACTGTCTGCTCCGAGATAGCATTCCATTCCACAGGTTGAGGGCTCCGTCCTTAAAGGACTGGCGTCCCTCAACCCCCTGCAGATGCTAGTCGCAAACCCAGGCTGTTACTTTTGCTTTTGACTTTCTGACCAACTGACTTTAAATCAGGGGTTCCCAGTGACCCCTTCCTTGATTTGATTAATTTGCTAGAGTGGCTCATAGAACTCAGAGAAACATTTTACTTATTAGATCGTCAGTTTATTATCAGGAACAGCCAGATTGAAGAGATGCATAAGGTAGGGTATGTGGGAAGGGAAACTGCACCATTTTCCCCAGATCTACTTGTTTTCACCAGCTGGGAAGCTCTCCGAACCTGAGGCCTTTCGGGTTTTTATGAAGGCCTCATTACATAGGCTTGATTGATTAAATCGTTGACTGTTGGCGATTGGTTCTACCTTCAGTCCCTCGCTCCTCCCCAGAGGTCTGAAAGGTGGAGCTGAAAATTCCAACCCTCTAATTACTTGGTTGGCTCCCTTGGAAAACCCGTGCCATACTCTTTCTCCCCACCCCTGCCCCAGACAGGTTCAAAAGTCATCTCATTAACATAACAAAATACACCTTTATGGCTTACGTTGCTTAGAAAATTCCTAGAGTTTCAGGAGCTGTGAGCCAGGAACTGTGGACGAAGACCAAATGTATATGAGAAATATATTTTGGTCATCTGAACGACCAGATATGTATTTCTTATAAATCACAATATTACCTGTGGCAGAACCTCTTTTTCTGAGTATTGAACCACACTTTGCAGAGAAGTGGGAAGACCTTAATTTACCATTTGGAATGTTGATTATTGTGCTGAAATGGGGTGGGGAGTGGCTAACAGACGTCAGTGGCTGTTGGCTCTTACAGGAAGTGGCTCTGCTGCAGATGGTTGTGCATTTTGAGTGCTATTTCTGAGGCTGGCATGGGGGGAGGGTTCTTTCTTGATGACATCTGTCACCTTCACCTTTTGCTCCTTTTTGCTTTACGTGATCTTTTATAATTTGAGAAACCAGATAATTATAGTGTTTGAATGCTGAAATATGTGTAAATTAGCATTACCTAAAGTTCCTGGCTATGAGTGAGGGATGTGTACTTCTCTTGAATCTTTTTTCCTGCTCAGAGGCCTGTTTCATTGGCTTCTACATTTCTTATGTGATTTGCTCTCATAAATGACTTCTGGGTAAATGTAGTATTTTATTGCAATTATTTGATTCATTTTTCTTATAGGAAAAAATATTTAAGCGCAATTGCAAATGTTGAAAGTTAAGACAGTGCTACCTGCCTAGAATATAACCTATTTGAATCTTCATGAAATTATGTGAACGTTTTCCCCTTATAGTTTATTCCCCAGATATGCCTTCGCGGCTTCCAATCCAAGACATATTTGCTGGACTGGTTACAAGTATTGGCACTGCAATACGATATTGGTTTCATTATACACTTGTGGCCTTTGCATGGTTGGGAGTTGTTCCTCTTACAGCATGTGAGTATTCATTCTTCTGTGACTGGAGTTATTTAAACATTGTACAACTATTTAATATTATAAAGTAATATGGCATCATAGTTTTGTTCGAATGATATTTAATTATTTGATATTATAATGTCATGTATTAGGAAAACCTCATTTAAGAAACATTATTCAAGTGAATTAAAAACCATTTTTTAACAGGTCAGTTTCTTGAATGAATGTGGGAAAGAAAAACACAGCATACAGAGGCTAATAATGAAAGTTCATGAAAGAATTGAAAAAGCAAAATCAAACCATAATTAGAAGGAAATTGAATTTTATTCCTTGAAGTTTATTAGAGCTTTCAAGGATGACAAAAGATGGGTTCTTTTGAGATTTTTTTTTATCCCCTTTTAAAAAACACATGTCTAATGGTGCTGAATAATTGGGAAGTGTGTCTTTCAAATATAGGAGGCTCTTTGGGAGATTGGTATACTAATTCTTAGTTGATTCTTTTTAGGTTCTTTGTGTTCTTAAAGACATGGAAAGGGGTCGATAGTATATGGTGCCAGAGCATATAGATAGGATTCTTTAAAGTTAACCACAAACAATATTTTTAAATAAGTATAATAATATCCTCATGTCTCCTTAAAATAAAGTAAAATAAACTCGATCAGTTATAAAAATGAAAGTAGCAGAATAGGTACTGTTCACTTGAAGAGTGAATTAGTGAGCTAGAATATTGAGCAAGGAGTTCTCCAGGATGTAACTCAGAGACAGGAAGTTGCAAGTATGAGGGAAAAAATTTGAGAGATGGAGGCTACATCCGATTGTTTCAGTATCTGTCTAGTAAGTAGTTCCAGAGGGTAAAAGAGATTGAAAGAGAGAGAGCTGACTGTGATAAAGGAAAAAGACAATCCTACACACATTGTGAAGTTTTCCAGTGCTGAATAGGGTGGTATATAGATGTTATGCTTTCAGATTATCCTACAAAATCATGAAAATCAGACTGGCATCAGACTTCAAGTCAGCAACATTGAATGTTAGAAGACAGCAGAATAGTCAACACATGGCAAAATTTTTGAACCCAAAATCTTATTATTCTCAGATAGAAGGACAAAATACAGACATTTCAATAGATGCAAGGACTTGGAAAGCTTACTACCTCAAATCATTTATGAAAAAAGTGTTTGAGAATATATTTTACTAAAACGAGCAAGAAATCAAAGACAGGGAAAGGTGTGAGCTCCAGAGAAAAAGAAACAAGTGCTTCTTATAGCTAAATCATAATTGTTGTTAGTCTACAATAATTAATAATTTTTTAGGTATCAATTGGAAACTAAAATTCTAGATGATCTTAACGAGAGGAATTGTGAGGGGAGGATAGAATTGAGAGCTTTTTAGGTTGTCTTATTTGTGGTGAAATTATAGATGCTTTAGATAAAACAGGAAAATACAGTGTAATTATGCATTAAAAATACAGGAGTAACCAAGTAGAGTCCAGAACTGGCAAAGGTGATAAACAGCAAAGGTGCCACTGCTGCTGTTCAGGGGAGGAAAGATGGTCTTTTCAATAAATGGTACAGCATCAACTGGACGGGCATGTGGAGCAAGTGACCCATACCATTACCGCCCACCTGACACAAGTTAACTTTAGATGGTCGTAAACCTGAATGTGAACATTAAAACCAAAAAACTGCTAAAAGAAAGTATAGGCGAACAACCATAAAAGAAAATACTGAGAAATTTGACTTAATTAAAATTAAGAACTTTAATTCATGCTCAGATAGCTTTGAGAGAGAAACGCAAGCTACAGAGTGAGAGACGGTATTTGCAGTACACATATCCAGCAAAGGACTTGTATCCAGGATATATAAAGAACTATATAAATCAGTAAGAAAAAGGAAGACAGGCCAATTAAAAAGTGGAACAGCAGATTTGAACAGGTGTTTCTGGAAAGAAGATTAAATAGCCAGTACACACGTGAAAAGGTGCTCAGTATCATTAGTCACCAGGGAAATGCACAAGAAGATGCTGCTACGTACTCAGAAGAATGGCTGAAATTAAAAGAAAAGACAGTGCCAAATCCTTCTTAGGATATGGAGCATCTGCAACATGCATACATTGATAGTAAGAGTATTATAGTATAGCCACTTAGGAAAGCTGTTTGATGTTATCTATCAGTGGTAAATATTATAAATACCTTATGATCCAGTAGTTCTGTTTCTGGGGATGTTGCTAACAGGAATAAGGACCTTGTGTCCACTAAAAGACATGTGTGTAACAGTGTCGTCACTGCAGCTTTGATAATAGTAGTTTAAAACTGGAACCAACCAAACAACTATCAGCAGTAGAATGGATAGTGTGGCTTATCCCTATAACGGAATACTACATAGTGGTGCAAAAGGAGCTGGCTGACGCAACATAGAATAACACGGATAAACTTCACTTCTTTGAGAAAAAGAAGCCAGGCACAAAAGAGTATGGATTGTGGGGTTGCATTTATGTGAAATTTAAAAATAGGCCAAATTGATCCATGATGATAGAGATCAGAATAGTGGTTACCTTTTGCTGGAGATACTGACTGAAAAGGGTCTTGAAGGAGCCTTCTGGGGAGCTAGAAATGTTGAGAATCTTATCTGGCTGACAGTTACTCGGATATATACGAATATAAAAATTCACCCAGACACACTTAATATTTATGTAAATTTTATCTTAATAAAAAAGTAACAAAACTTAAATTTAAGTAACTGTTAGGAGAATAGAAATAAGATGATGAGTTTTCATCCTAGGGAGCGGGAATAGGTAGCAGTGAGTAAAATTTGTAAAGTCTGACAAAAGACAGGAAAGACAAGAAGGGAGGGCTGAGGAAGGGGAGTAAAAGAGAAGAAAAGATAAGATTGCAATATCTGTGATCATAGGGCGTAGATAGAGCCTCATAATTGTGTATGTATAAAAGTGTTCCGCTCCAAGAGATAAGTACGAAACAGCCCAGGTTAATGCTAGAGGGATTGGTTAACAAAGGCTGACAAAACGCAGGAACAGTATTCACCAGCCAGATATTATTCAAGATGAAACACTTTAAATGAGGAACAGCATTTTATTTCATATTAATAAAAGGCATAGTCCACTAAGAAAACTTAAGAATTTCTGTGCACCAGCAAACAGGACTTAGAAGTATGTAAAACATTCATAGTTATAGTGGAAGACTAACACTTCTCTGAAATCAGTATATCAAGTAGTCAAAAATTAAGTAAGGACTTTGAGGATTTAAGTAACAGGTAACAAGCTTGATTTCTGTTCTGACTTGTTTACACACACACACAATTAAAATCTAAATTATGTCACCCACTACACATTCTGTAACTTCTTTCTTTAAGTTAGCAATGTACCCGTGGCTGTCTTTTCCTGTAGCAATGTGTTGAGCTACCTTATTTTTAAGCACGCTAGTAAGGAGGACTTTAATTTATGAGTCTGTTTTCTTATCTACAGACAATTGGCTGTTTGTCACTTTTACTTGTTACAAGCATACTTGCTTTGAATGTTTTATACATATATGTAAGTAATTTCTGTCACAGAAAATCTTTTCCTGTCTTTCCATTTTGACTTGGCATTTGAGAACAGCCATTGAAGTCACTGAATTTTTGGTACAAGGCTATATAGGAAATGCTTAAACTAATACACAAGTACTGGTTTGAAAGAAAACCTCAGCTTTTGGGCCTCATTTCCAAATCTGTTTATGCCTTTTCTGACTAAGAGGATGAGGGGATGGCTGTGTATTTGCCCTTACTTCATCTTTTCCCTTCATGGCCAGATTTAAGATTTTGTCCTTTTGAGGACACTTGAATCTGTTTGTCAAAAATTGGTTGTTAGTTTGCTGTTCATAGCATTGAAGCATGTACTCTACTGAAAAGTTCCCTTAATGTCAAAAATATGTACCCTCAAAACTTTATTTTCATGAGCAGACTCAATGAATTTTAGAATTCTAGGTTAAAGAAAATACCCTGTATTATAATTTTGGAGATCTTTTCTTGAGATTGGTCCCCCCGCCCCCTTCAAACATCTAAGCTCATTTAATAAAAACAAGTAAGTAAATCTAGAGAGAATCAAAACTTTAAACATTGTGTAACATTTATTCTTTACTGTCACTAGTTTTAATGCTTGACTTTTTTTTTTTTAACTTTAGTATTATGAGGCTCAACCTTGCAAAGACTAAATGTTTATTTCAGTGGCATTCGCAGTGTTCCACTTTATCTGTTTAGTTGAGCGACTGTATGAGTTACGATGAGAGTTGTGACTGTATGCCTTCATGCCCTTTCTTGGTAGGTCGCATCTACAAGTGCTTGTTTACTGGCTCTGTGAGCTCCCTGCTGACACTGCCACTAGACATGCTGTCCACGTAAGTATTGAACCTCGTGGTGGTGGAAGGCTGCACGTTGTGAATGGTGCTCATTTTTTCTTCTGCATACTTGTGTTTGTTGTAATTTGAAAAGTCCTTCTATTCCAAGGACAAATAATACCTTATGTTTGTTACCTATTCTAAAGTTACAGCTCCAGTGGAAGTAGCTGACATATATAAATGATGTTTTAAAACATACCCATCTTAAAGGACAGTTTGGTAACGGTGGGACAGCTAGTTAAATAAGCTGTCGTGTAGTGCAAGAAATGTACTGTTCCATATAGTGATGCGCTGGGCGTTCATTTAAACGTGTTTTTAACAGCGCAGACATTTGAAGTCAAATTTCTTTTTAAAATGTTTTTTGTGATTGTTAGGAGATGGACTGTAAAAACTTGTTCACTGTGGTGGTTTTACTATATTTTAATTTGACATAAAGCTTTATAATTGCAGTTTCTTGGGAAAGACATATATGTGTTTTCAAAATTATTGATGTTAGAAATGCTGTAAATGATTAACTGTATCAAGATCATTAGAATATTAAGCTTGCAAAAGATTGCACCTCTGCTAAAATCTTCTTTTGTATCCAGTTGACCTTAGGTTTCTGATCCCTATGTCAGTAAGGGCAAAGAACAATATAAGACTGTCTTTTAGAACAGAAGCATGCGGAATATATTATAAAAATAAGCCAAATGGCAATGGAAGAGAGCAGGAGAGCATGTTACATTTCTGATAGAAAAGAAATCAAGGAGGAGGTCTTTTAAGTCTCTTTTGTCTGCATCATTATTTTGAATCGTGGCTGAAAATACTTAGAAATATTAGATGTGTTTGCAACTTGTTTTTCCTGCTTGCTAGTTTTACCTTTTTTGGATAGAACAGGCAAGTTATTTAATTTATGTGTTTCTTCGGCAGTATAGGGAATAGATAAGATAAAAGGTTTTGAACTTGAACTTTATTTACATTACAACAGCTTTCGAAGTAATGTTTATAAGTAGACAAGGATCTTGAAAATAGGGCACTAATGGCTGTGGCCCTCATAAAAAGGAGAAGCAGTAATTTGACACACTTGAGAATTTAGAAATAGTATAATAACGTAGCCCTTTGTATGAAAATACTGACTTTCTATGAAGTGATTCAGTGAAACAAATAGGACAGCGTTACTATTTTTGGACATCAGATTTTTATATCAGCCATCCAGAACACAGTCTTAGTATAGAGGCAAGAAAAATCAGTCTTGGCTGAAGTGTCATTCATATGTCTCCACGTATATGATGTAGCTCACCTCCAGCTTTCATTTAGGAATCGTATACGAAATAAAGGCACATATTAGAAGTAGCGAGGGAGGTCAGAAAAAAGCAAGGGGTGACTGCTAAGAGTGATGGAAGTTATATTTTAATATCTATGAACGAATAAAAGAACCGTTCTAAACAGGGCAGTTTTGTTCCATTTAGTTTGAGGCTAGAGTTGTATTTATCATTGTAATTTTTGAGAGAGCAGTGTAGCAGCCAGTCAGTATCTCAGTTGTTTAGAAGAGGTGACTTGAGCTCCCATCTGTGCTGTTCAGTAAAGTGGGGATGTGTTACTTCTTTAATGGTTTCTGTTTTAAATGGCACAATATGTTAATGTTTACCAAAGCTTAAATTGGTAGGCTTTGGCTTTGTGAAAAACAGGTGTTTATGGAAGCCATGTCAGTGAAAATTTAGTATTTTAGTCTCAAGTAAGGCAGTATTTTACTTGCCTACCACCTTTACTTCTTGTTGGCGGAACCATTAAACATCTGGTTGTTTGGCAAGTGTGATCACTTAGGTGATGCAAAGATGTAGCTGGTTGTAACAGAAGGAACCCTGACATTGGAATTTAATAGTGGCTGCATCTGCAACTTTTTGGTGACCTTGGGCAAATCACTGGACAGTTCTGAACCCCTGTTTCCTCATCTGTAAAATGAGGAAGATCATGCCTCAGGGATTTGGGTGGGCTGTTCAAAGATTAAATTCACAAATACATGTAAAAACTATATGTGAATTTTGAGCACTATGTTAATACATAGCAAAATTATCACCAAAACTCAGAGCTGTTGCTTGCCTTATGTTGGCAGGCTCTCCTTTTCTCTGTGACCTGATTGGTTAGTGGGCCACACCTGAGTTGCCTTCATGAGCTTCCTCATTGACATGGGAAGAATGCTGAGAGCTTGGTGGGAATAGTGGAAAGAAATTGTAAGCGTGGGTTGCTTTTATAATCTCATGCTGCCTTTTAGAATTTGAAGAATTGAGCCAGTTTTTCTGAAAGCACTTATAAGTAAATCACTTATTTTTTCTGAGTAATGTTTCATTTTTCTCTATAGAATCCATTTTCTGAAATTTTACTTAAAATTTCTTAATATCTTAGCAGCTGCTACATATCCTGTAGCTCAGTTCCTCAGCATCTCTAGGCACAGTCTGTCAGTTAACTATTGCTGCAAAACATGCTGTCCCTAAAACTTAGTGGCTTAAAACAACAAACATTTGCTCATAATTCTGGGAGTTAGCAGTTTGGGCTGGGCTCAGCTGATCCATTTATCTGTTGGGCTCGCCTCCATTATGCATATGTGTCACTGGGGTTGGGTAGTCTAAGATGGGGTACCTTGGCTCTTCCATATGGCTTCTCATCTTCAGAAGGCTAGTGGGGCTTCTTTACATGGTGGCCTCAGGGCAGCATTCTAAAGGGGTGAGAGTGGAAGCTTACCTGAAAGCTCTCTTCTAGGCTTTAGAACTCAGGAAATTCACTTCTGGTCCAGACAGTTCACAAATCAGCCCAGATCCAAGGTGTGAGGGAAAAGGAAAGGATTCTACAAAGAGTTTGTCACCATTTAAAAGTCTACAGTAAACTCTACAATAAGCAGCTGCTGTCCTTATTGCTCATGACAAGGAAGGAATAGAGAAGGGGTATCTTAGTCCCAACCTATCAACATTCTAATGGTCTGCAGGGGTCCTTAGCAAGGGGGTGATTAGCATTCCTCTTTTGACTAAGGTATATTCCAGATAACATCTGAGGGCCACATTAGTTCAGTTTGGAGCCACCAGGCCGAGGTCTCCCAAATTGACCCTTCCTTAAGTTCTCCATGGAGGGAAAGATGTCTATTATGGTAGTGAATTTTCCAAAGGCTACCAAGATTCTTGAGTTACCTTTGAATTACTCTGAAATCAGACATAGACCAGGGAAGGATATGCTCCTTCAGAGAGGAAAAGAACAAAGAGGTCTTCAGTATTATTATACTGCGTGTATTTTCATGTGAACCATACTTGATCTGTCTGGATTTGTTGAGAAACTAATATACTTTTGGTGTATTTGCAGTTGGCATCAAAATTTAATCTGCGTTCTAAATGAGGCATTTGTAAAATGTGCCACAGGCTCCTTTGCCTCACGCATTGTGTACTGTGTATTTCTCAGCCTTCCTTTATGTTGTCTTTAGGCCTTTCTAGGGGCCCTTCTCCACCTTTCTGATTTGCTGATTCTGTTCATTTACATGGGTTTAAGTATCAGCTAACTAAGTTGGTTCAACTTGTGTATAAAATAAGGATAAGGATATTCTTAGTAAGGGTTGGACAGAGTCATGTATCTTTAGGAAATTACATGTATTTAATACTTGACCTTTGTCAAGTATTTGGCTACTTTCAGTTTTTTGCTTGCTGCCTTCCTTTTTCTCAGCTATGTTCAAAGAGAGGCTGGATAGCCAATTTATGTGGTTCTGATGTTATTCTTTGCTTTCTATAATATGAACACATATAATACAAATATATAAATAAACATGTTTGGCCAGCTTATAAGATAGATAAATTGCCACCATCCTCAGAAATAATTCTTTTTGAGAGACTGATTTTTCACCAGAAAGTTATGACTTACTTTTCTTGTTCTTTCTGAGATTTTTATGTAAAGTGAATGTCGTTACCTTTGGTTTCTTAATTTTAAGTGTTCTTTGGAGTAATTCTGTGTACTTTTTTTTTTTTTTTAAATAGGGACAATTTGTTGGCGGATTGTTTGCAGGGTTGTTTTGTGGTGACGTGCACATTGTGTGCGTTCATCAGCCTGGTGTGGCTGCGAGAGCAGATCGTCCACGGGGGAGCCCCGATCTGGCTGGAGCATGCTGCTCCGCCCTTCAACGCTGCTGGGCATCACCAAAATGAGGTAGCTCCCTCTATCCCCAAATTCATTTTATTTGGGTAGGACATAAGAATTATTGTCACCCTCTAAGACCCAAACCCTTGACTCCCGTGTCCCTCATTGCAAAGCAGGACAGTGACAACGTTTGGGAGAAGATAAAAGGAGATGTGAAAAATCAAAAGAGTGCCGTTGTTACTTTGCCTCTTAGTTTTCTAGCGAGACTGGGAACAGTACTGGGGGTATACTGCATGCTCTTTCATTCCCTTTGCCTGGGTTAACAGCTTACCGCCGGCCTGGCAGTTAATATACGGACCTGCTGCATGGGCTTCTGACGTGCTGCATAACATTAAGGAAGCCCCCTTACCCTCTTTGTTCATTAGTTTCTTCATGTGTAAAATGCCTCACCTTTGTTGCTTTTAGTAGAAACATTACCAAAAGTAGAAAAATTGGAGTACTGTTGATAACGGTCTTGTACAGTTTTACTTTTTATTTATGAGATGACATGCTTAGATACAAGAGTGTCTGCTAGAGACATTAAGAAGAGGAAGATATGATAAATGATTTTTATTATCTTGTTTACTGAGAAATTATAGGGCTGAAAATGTAAAAAAAAACCCAAACTGGCTACTCAAAATACAAAAACAATTTGCCCTTTGTAAAATTTTATTATGAAAAAATTGACTATAAAATTAATTCAAAATAATACTTAACGATACTTAATGACTTAATTTTTCAATTAAGGACCTTTGGCTTTTTTTAGTGTGAAGATTGATTTCATCAAATTCTGCCATACCCTTTTTTCTACAGAATTAAGAGTACAACTTCACCTTTGAAAACCACACATATGAAAAATGGAACTATTAAGCAAGTTTTTACCTAGTGTTAATACTTTCATCATTGTACCTCATATTTTGAAGCATTTTAATACAGTTCTTTTAGAATCTTCATTAACTCCATAGGAGTTCAGTGTTTTAATTAACTACAACTAGGTCTTTGCATTTGGTAGGTAGCAGAATTCAGGAAGAGCCAGAGAAGGGTGCTTGTGGAAACTGATAAAGTTCATATGGACAGGCTTACCCTCCTGAGCAGAAATGAGAAACCTTTCCTCAAGTGTGAACTGAGAATTAAGTTATATATCAGTATGTGTGTAAACAGATACATAAATATATTTTCATCCCTGAAGTGGTCAGTAAAGACAAGAGATGCCTTATAAAGAAGGATTACGGAATGATGTATTCAAGGTAGCCAGATTTGTTAACCTGTTTCCTGTAATGCTTTGTGAAATGTTCATCTCTAAATTATATTGAATGAATATGTACACTGTTAAATGAGTTTATGTTCTTATATACCAAGTTGATCCAAATTCAGATACATTTAGAAGAAATGCCCTTGAGAGGTGGGGTTTTTTTGGAATTTTAATAGAGTTTGTGTCTGTTTGCTAGTTTTGTTTTTTTTTAGAAGGGAGGGTGCTATTTGAAAATAGAGCAAAACTGAGGTAAGTTAGCCAAATTTCTGGTCTCCTCTGTCATTTTAGGCTCCAGCAGGAGGAAATGGTGCTGAAAATGTTGCCCCCGACCAGCCTGCTAACCCGCCAGCTGAGAACGCAGTGGTGGGGGAAAACCCTGCAGCCCAGGATGACCAGGCAGAAGAGGAGGAGGAGGAGAATGAGGAGGAGGACGACGCGGGCGGGGAAGATGCAGCTGATGCCAACAATGGGGCACAGGGTAATGGCCGCCGGCCTGTGCTCAGCCTTCCTTCGCGACCATGAGTCCATTCCCAGCTCACCTTGGGGAGCATTGGAGTTTTCAAAATTTAATGGGTTTGAAGTTCTGTTTCTAACCTGCTTTTACTTTATTTTGGCAGACTTGCATTTATGGATATACATATGCATACTTTTTTTTTCTATGAAGCAGGGCACATTTTGAGTTTTGCAGTTGTACTTTAGGGACTCCCCTAGTGGTCCAGTGGTTAAGACTGCGAGCTTCCACTGCAGGGGGCATGGGTTCAATCCCTCTTTGGGGAACTGAGATCCCACAGTGCCGCATGGTGCGGCCATAAAATAAAATAAGATTAGATGAGATAAAATAAAATTCTACTTTACACAGGACTTTTTATAGGATGGATAGGAAGAAATTATTTGTAAGTTGGAATAGATCCTGTTGTTTTAAAATGGAACTTGTTTCAGTTTTATCTTATTCCTTTGCCATTTTTATTGAGTCAGTACGACTTTTATTATCAAAGAAGAATTCTTGAAGTGTACTCTGCAGGCCAGATAGCACCCAAAGAAACCAGTTTCTCATTTTCTGGCAGTATAACTCCAGAGTGGTAAAGAACTTCTGAGACCAGCCTGCCAGTCAGCTGTCAGCAGGTCACCACCTTCTTTTCTTTCCTCTGGCCCCAGAGTTTTCCTGTCAAGCGCTGCACTGTCTCTGGGTCCACTTATCACTGCTGATACCTGAGTGTTTCTTGTGTGCCAGGCACTCAAACACCAGGTCCCTGCCTTCATGGAGTTTCTGGTCTAGTGACGAAGTAGAAATATCCAAGTGAACAAGTTTGTTATTACACATTGTGGTAAATGTGCACGTTGCTCTGAGGATGCTACTGAGGAGAGACCTATTTTAAATAAGGTTCCCCAGGTAGCTCAGAGTAAGTGACATTGGAGCTGAGACGTGAAGGATGAGAAGAAGCCAGTTGTGTAATGGGAGCAGGGGGCCTTTTCAGGGAGAGGTGGGTATATGTTCAAAGGCTCTGAGACTGCGGCTCCTGTACCCTAGTGCTGGCCCTTGTTTCCTTCTGTTTGTCTGATGCAGTAGGCCCTGCCTGGTCTTCCTTCTTCCATTCTCGCTCCACATAGTGTTTGTACTGCTCTCTGCCCTTAAAATCTGTCAGTGATCTCCCCATTATGTTAAAGAACAAAACAGAATTCAGCCTTCACATTCCTCTTATATGATCTGATCCCTGTCTGTCTGTCATACTGCATCTTCTGCCACTCTCTCCTCCTCACCCAGAGAATTCTAGTCCCCTGGCTTCTTCACTTTTCTCAAATCCACCATATTCATTCTTGATTTAGAGCTGTTGAATTCCTCTGTTTCACATAACCCTGCTTATTTTCTTTCTAGCACTTATCACAATCTAGAATCATCTTATTTTATATGTTGTATTTATTTATGTTTTTTAAAAATTGCCTAACAAGCAAATACTCAGTTTGGAAATATTTTAAGTGTGGTTTACCTTCTCAACAACAGTTATAAAACACCAAATTAAAAGAGTATATTTATTTATAATTCAAGTTCTATCAGTAATCTCTAAACTACAATTATGTTTCCAGACGACATGAACTGGAATGCTTTAGAGTGGGACCGAGCTGCAGAAGAGCTTACATGGGAAAGAGTAAGACTTCTTTCTATCAAGTATCCTGGTGTTTTAATCCTAATGTATATCTTAAAGTTGACCATATTTAGATGTATACACTAATTTTCCAGTTACATTTAATGAAAACAATTACCAGAACTTTAATTTCCAGGGAAAATTAAGTAATGTATTATTTGTGATGAAAATATTAAAAATATTATGATAAAGGTCTATTGATACCTTTTTCTATCTTCTGGCCTTTAATACAAACCTTGCTCCACTTACAAAATCTTTAACTTGAAATTGTGGACTTTTGAAAATGAAGTAACAATTTAAATTTAAGTATTATTCTGATGCTTCAGTTGACAAAGTAATACTGTTGTATCATGAAATCTTGACTGGCTCCATAACTAATGAGTTGAAACCCAAGATAGAAAATTTTAACTTTATAATCATATAATTTGGATTAAAAGAAGATACAAAATATAAAACTCCCATGAACAGAAGTTTTTCACTCTCTGAAAATGATAGGCTGTATTGGAAAGTAGTGGGTAAATATTATGTTTAAAAATATTAAAAGGAAAATGAGCTTTTTTCATAAATAGAATAAAAAATCCTGTTGCATCTTAAATTAATGCATATTATTTATTTTAGATGCTAGGACTTGATGGATCACTCGTTTTTCTGGTAAGTAACGCTAATCTTTTTTTTTTTTTTTAATTAATTTATTTTTTGCTGCGTTGGATCTTCATTGCTGTGCGTGGGCTTTTTCTAGTTGCGGCGGCAGGGGCTGCTCTTCGTTGCGGTGCGTGGACTTCTCACTGCAGTGGCTTCTCTGGTTGCGGAGCATGGGCTCTAGGCATGAGGGCTTCAGTAGTTGTGGCACACGGGCTCAGTAGTTGTGGCTCACGGGCTCTAGAGCGCAGGCTCAGTAGTTGTGGCGCACGGGCTTAGTTGCTCTGCGGCATGTGGGATCTTCCCGGACCAGGGCTCGAACCTGTGTCCCCTGCATTGGCAGGCAGATTCTTAACCACTGCGCCACCAGGGAAGTCCAAGCTAATCTTTTTTAATAACAGAATTGCGACTTAATTATTTGTCTTAGTGATTCAGTGATTTCAGATTTACAGTATGTTCTGGTTTTTTATATTAAAGGTCAAAATGCCCTGTGATTTTTGATTACTTAATATGTTGAAGAAAGTCTGTTTTGTGCATTGAAAATAACTGGCAAAGCATAAAGGTAATATTATTTACAAAGGAAATTATTAAACATATTTGATTTTTAGAAAATGAAATTCGGAGTTGATGGTAGTTAAGAATACTTGGCTTTCTTTTAAAGTTCCACCTTGTGGGACTTCCCTGGTGGCGCCGTGGTTAAGAATCCACCTGCCATTGCAGGGGACACAGGTTCAATCCCTGGTCCGGGAAGATCCCATGTGCCGTGGAGCAACTAAGCCCGTGAGCCACAACTACTGAGCCTGTGCTCTAGAGTCCATGAGCCACAACTACTGAGCCTGTGTGCCACAACTACTGAAGCCTGCACGCCTAGAGCCCATGCTCTGCAACAAGAGAAGCCCGCGCACCACAACTAGAGAAAGCCCTCACACAGCAACGAAGACCCAATGCAGCCAAAAATAAATAAATAAAATAAATAATAAAAAATTTTTAAAAATGATTCAAAAAAAAAAGTCCCACCTTGCAATGTTTAATGCCAGAACTGGTGAAAACAGCGCAGTTTTACACTATTCACAGAGAGAACCCCCTGTTTGTTGCGCCTCTCCTATCTTTACCTTAATAATAAAGAGTACAACTGTAAGGTGAAGAACAGTTCTTTAATTAACTTGTTCTTTAAGGAGAAATGATGCTCTTTTCAGGTTCTGTAATACAAAATCACTTGCCATTTGGGATTTTTAAATAGCTTTAAGTATCAAGATGACTTTGGCTGCAGGTAGCCAAACCCCAGCTGACCAAACCAGTAATACAGGAGGAAGTCCAGAGGAAGGATGGGCTTCAGGTGTGCTTGATCCAGGGGCTCAGCAATGTCATTGAAGAGTCAGATAATTTCCATCTGTCTCCTCTGCTTTCCACAGTGTTGGCTTCCTCTTCAGGCTGGCTCCTCAGGCCAGAATAGGAAGTTGAGGTTAGTAGTGTGAGGATTTTGAGGAATGTATCTGATGATAATTCACAGATTAGTAAGAATGTGATATTAGTGAGCTCCTATTCAAGGCTTGAGTATGGTCAGTATAGAAGGTATTATTTGGCTGTATACTCATTTCTGTACTTTATCAGTCCCTCATAGATGAGTGATAGAAGTCGTTGAGGCAGTGGTGTTAATTCAAATCCATTCTAATTTTTAGAAAAAAACCACAGGATGACTTCATGCATTTGTTACAAATTATTTAATATGTATGTACCATGTGCCAGCTGTGATAGTTACTGGATGATTCAGAAATGAATGAAATAGGGTACCTGTTCTCAAAGACTCTTTATAGTTCAGTAGAGAGAAATGAACATGTAAACAAGGAACTTTAGGTAAAGACTCTGACAAACAGTGTGTATAGGACACGAGAGGCATAGAAGAGGGCTTATTAGTCAGGCCTTTCTTAGCAGAGGGGAGTTGTCAGCAGGGAATTTTTATAGAAGATAACTAGAGGTTGAGGCACAAAAGATATTGAGGATAAGGACAGTTTGGGAGCCCTTAAGGCAGAGAAGCTGAAAAATTCAAGTGATATGAGCCCACATGCTAAGTAGGAATATACAGTAGTAGTCCTCTCTTAAACAGACTTATCATCCTCTTGCCACTTGGATTTATGGCAAATTGGGAACCTGATTAGAATAATCTTTCTAAAAAGAAAATCTTACCATGTTAAGATTCATGGAAATATTTCTCCATGGCCCCCTTGGAAGGATCGTTTAACTTGATTGTGGGGGGAGGTAGTGGGCCTGGACAAACAGGCTTGGGTGTCCCGATAGCGTGGAGCATGACTGAGCACACGCGGAGGAATAGATGGGTGGCCTCATGTTGGAGGCGGTAGTACATAAGCGTGGAGTGTGTCAGTGGCCAGGTGAAAGCGCATATTCTGAGACTTGAACAAAGAAAGCCATGGGGACAGAAGGGACCAGAGAAGATCGAGTGACCTTAAAGAAGGCATGAGAACACACTGGACACTGAAAGAAGTGCTGTGCAGTTTACATTGATATGTTGTTCAGAAATAATGTGGTTTTCAAATTTTTCTTTACTTAGAATTTTTTGGTGTCATATGACTTAAACCTGGCGATTATTTATGAGAATCTGTGTAGTTTGTGGTAGATTATTAATTTCTGAAGAGGAAATGTTTATGGATTGATTTCTTTGATTTTTTTTTCATGTGGACATTATGAACTTTAAGTTTCATTAGGTTTAGTTTTATGAGCTGTCTAATGAAAAATGAAGTTACATAATTTCTGAGCAAAATCTCAAAATTATAGTAAAAATATCAGTCTTATAACTCAATAAATGGATTAAACATAAATCAAATAGGAGATGAATATGTTTTATTAATGCTCTTTTCCTTTAGGAACATGTCTTCTGGGTGGTGTCTTTAAACACACTGTTCATTCTTGTTTTTGGTAAGTGGCGTTTATGCTTTTATTTATGGTATTACGGTAGGAGTTTAGTTTTCTAGGAGTCTTGTTACAGGCTTTGTTTTGTTTTTAAACTTAGGAATATATGAAACAGTTTTAGACAGTCATCTGGTATAGGAAGACCCCAGGTATACAGTTACTTTCTTTCCTAAGCAACATTGACTACGGTTATTTACCAACTTTGCTTCTGTTGCGCACTTCTGTCTCTCTTTGTAGAAGCCAATTTTAGACTGACTTGAGAATATATAATATTCCACATCTGGAATTAATTTCGTGCTGATTATCTGTGTGTTCTTCCCTATGGCAGAAGATCTTGTTTTCATCTGTTAAAATCCTGACCAAGGCCTTACCAGAGACCTTGGCTTGGGATCTGTCGCAGAGATGGATATAGGCTTGAGGAAAGTGTAATTCCCCTCAGAACCAGATTCCAGCAAAGTTTACTTCCAAACACTTTAACAACTGTAGCTATGCGGATTCTGTGACAACACTAAGAGTCCCTCCCATTGGGAGTCATGAGAGTAAGGAAGGCAGGGTTGAGTTGTAGCTGACAGGTTTTCCTGCTTTGGGGAAAGGTAAGGGAAACAGTTGAGTAAACCAAGGTTTTAGAATTCAGTTCCTCAAGGTGTAGTCTGACAGAATTGGGTTATTGTTAGACTGTACTATTGGTGTCTCATAGAGAGACCTCAGGCTGCAGATCTCTGTATAGGGAATATCTTTGAGAAATTCCTTCCTTAGTGCATATGAATTACTCCTAAGAAGGAGGAATATTTTCCAAGTTTCTTCCACTAAATTCCAAGTTATTTGCTCTGTGTTAGGGACTAGAAAGCAGTGTTTTCATCAGGAAACAGTTGTCTTCAATAGGAAGCCATATGGTCAAAGAAGACACTGAATAAATAGATCAAGGATGAGACAAAAAAATTGTTTTCTGACTATTATCTATAAAAGAGCAAAAGAAATTTATCTGTATCTTGTTGAAACACAATATCTTTTAAAAGTTCCATTCATTCTTAATTTTTAGTAGATATTTAAGATGGTGCAAATTAACAGGAAGCCCATTCTTTGTTGTTTTCCCTTGCATATGGGGGTGAAAATGTGTCTGCAGATTATTCTGTATTTGTTTCTCATTGTGTAAAATAATTGCTATATAGAGTGTGAAACTCTTGATCTTGACCAAATTTTCTTTGAGAGGAAAATATGATCTATATAGACTTTAGTCTTTGTTCTTGCAAGAAAAGCTTAGTGCTAAATTAATGTTTAAAGGAATAAGTCACCTTTAAAGCATGAATTATAGAAATAAGAACTCTTGTTTATATAAAGCAAATCTCAACTAAGTAAATTTTTTTAATCCAACTTCCTAAGCTTATACTATGAAAAAAATTTTTCTTGTCTTAGTATGCACAATATACTTAGGATCTTTTGAAATGAAACAAGAAGTTTTCCTCTTTTTAGGAAAACTTCCTCTTTTTTTTAGGAATATGCTTTTCCTTTTAGATGAACATAGTCATTGGGATTAAGCAACACTCATGTTTCTTTCCTACTTGGGTTGCTTTACTACAGTTTCCACTGGCATTCTTGGACCTTTGTGGTCATGTATTATGCTTTGCAGAAATAAAACCTTACAGTGCTGCTGTCTCAGTAGAAGGGAACAATCCTAAGAAACTGATCTTAATTTCAGGGTACCTATCTAGTAGTTTCTGTGTAATGGGATAGAAATTGATTGTTAAAATTGGTGCTTTAGGTTAATATTTATATATATAGAGTTGAAATTTGAAAGTTTGCCTTTCCCAAGGGCCTGCTTGAGTCGTCCTCAGAGTTGGGTGTGAGAATAAAATAGGAAAAATTCTGCATATAGTTATTTCGCACACTTTAAAATTTGCCTGTGCTTCATAATACACATAATATATTAATAAAATAGTATATGTGTATAATTTATAAAGAAATTCAAGTGTATTGGGAATACCTGTTAAAAAAAATGTCTACTTATGAATACTTGGTCAAAAAGGTTTGGCAGCCAGATCCCTGTAGATTCAGTCTGACTTTTGTCTTTATGATTGAGTCTCCCTCTCCCCTTTCCTAATAATCTATACTGTTCTGTTATTTTTGCCATAAAAAAGGTAATTAAATTTTATTAACTGAGAATGAATTACAGTTATATTAACATGGAAAGAAAGACTTGAGGAAAAGAGACTATCAAAATTCTTAATATGAAAATTTTAAGGCTGTTTTCTTTTAAACATCTTTATTGGAATATAATTGGTTTACATTGTTGTGTTAGTTTCTGCTTTATAACAAAGTGAATCAGTTCTACATATACATATATCCCCATATCTCCTCCCTCTTGCATCTCCCTCTCACCCTCCCTATCCCACCCCTCTAGGTGGACACAAAGCACCGAGCTGATCTCCCTGTGCTATGTGGCTGCTTCCCACTAGCTATTTTACATTTGGTAGTGTATATATGTCCATGCTACTCTCTCACTTCATCCTAGCTTACCCTTCTCCCTCCCCGTGTCCTCAAGTCTATTCTCTACATCTGCGTCTTTATTCCTGTCTTAAGGCTATTTTCTTATTTAACCAGAATATCATGACACTTTACAAAATTACCAGAATTTAATACTACCTAATAATAGATCATATTAAAAATTCTAGATTGTCTCCTTAAATATCATTTTATAGTTGCTTTGTTTGAATGAGAATTCAAATAAGGTCTACCTGTTACCTTTTTTTTCAGTTTTGGACAAAAAAAAATTCATTAAATTGCACTAAAGTTCATCTGTTTTTAAAACAGAGCTGAGAATAGTCAAGGACATTTTGAAAGAAGTATATTGAGGGAGGTTTACCTTACCCAGATATTGAAATTGTTTTAAACCTACAGTAATTAAAAAAATTTTTTTTATTGTTTTACAATTTTTAAAGGTTACTTTCCATTTACAGTTACTACAAAATATTGGCTGTATTCCCCTTGTTGTACAGTAGTACATCCTTGAGCCTATCTTACACCTGGTAGTTTACTGTTACTTTTGGTTGTTAAATCTTAAGTTTTTCTGATCTAGAATATTTTTTATTTGCTCCCCTCATCTACTCCTACCCTATTTTGCCATTGATTTGTTGATGACACTAGGTCAGCTGTCTTCTACGTGTCTCACTTTCTACTTTCTTCCGATGACTTCCTGTTGATTCTGTTACCTTGTTCCTTTGTCTCCATATTTCTTTTAAACTGGAAGTTAAATCTGAGGCCTGATTAGATTCAGGTTCAGTACTTCTGGGACAGAATTTTCACTGGTCATGCTTTGCCTATTATTATGACATATCAGGAGGTACATGATGTCTGGTTATCCACCTTTGTCTGTGGTTCAGGTGATAGTATCTTGAAGCCTCTATTGTTAGGTTTCATTTTTCCCTTTAAACATCAGAAAGTAATCTGTGGGAGGTGGTATTTTAGTATTATGCAAATATCTAGTGTTCCATCAGCATTTTACCGAATATGTTTATTATCCATTGATACTTGCCTGAATTAATTTATTTTTATTAGGCATTACAAAATGGTGATTTTCAAATTCTGTCATTTTTATGCATTTATTGGCTAGCTTTTCTGTAAAGAAGAGCTTGATCTTATCAGCTAGAACTATTTAGTTAACCTGAATTTGTTTGTTTGGAAGAAGCAGGACAGATGTGCAGTTTTTTTCCTTAAATTATTAGTTTTCAGGATAAGGAATTGATGTTCTAACAACTTTCCTTAGTGATAAAAGTGTTTTCTGTTATGTTGCTTTTTTCCTTTTGTGGTTTTTGTTTTTCCCTTTTTTGAGTATTATGAACTCATGAATTTGTATGTATTCAGTGTGTTTTCATCAGTTTTTTTGTTTGTTTGTTTTTTGGTTGCTCATATCTTCTTCACTGTATGTATTCAGTGTGTTTACATCAGTTTTGGGGGTTTTTTGTGGTTTTTTTTTGGATGCTCATATCCTCTTCTCTTCCCACAGGCCTGTGAGACTGTTTTCACAATAGTTCTTGTGTCCTTTCACCATGAGTTTATTAGGAGCTTGGTAACTTTTTTGTTCTCTGGTTGTAGAGAATGTCACAGACAGTACTTTTTTTTTTTTTTTTTTTTTTAGCGGTACGCGGGCCTCTCACTGCTGCGGCCTCTCCTGTTGCGGAGCACAGGCTCCGGACGTGCAGGCTCAGCGGCCATGGCTCACGGGCCCAGCCGCTCCGCGGCATGTGGGATCCCCCCGGACCGGGGCACGAACCCACGTCCCCTGCATTGTCAGGCGGACTCCCAACCACTGCGCCACCAGGGAAGCCCGACAGTACATTTTTGGTTCTGAGATCTTCCATTTCTCCAAGAAGCCTTTGTTCCTTTTAGTGGGGTTGGTACTAGGAGTGTTCGTTGTTTTGATTTTGAAGTTTTCATTGAGTTTTCCCCCCCTTTTAGCATTTTGCCCGTACCACATTGGCCACTTCTCCCTTGTTGGTTTGGGATTTGAAGAACACGTGAGTATGATACTTTTGCAAACTTAATTTTATTAATTACCCCAAATTTGATATATGTTGACTAAGTAATAATATTGTAAAGAGTTACTTCATTTCTCAGTCTGCCTTATACAAAGGAATAGTTATCCAGCACCATCTCGTTCACCTCTTCTAAGCCAGAAGTGGCCTAAGACGTAGTAGGACATGTTGCCAGCTGTGGAAGATGTTCTCTAAGCCCCATGATGCACTGTCTTCCTTCCCGTTGGGCAGGCCAGAGACATACTGTGGGAAAGTTTTCTTACAGACTGATTTTTGACCTGCTCTGTTAGCCTATGTGCTCCTTTCTCTCTTTTCCCTAGTTGCCCCATAGTGAATTCAGAAAGGTAATGATATATTAATTTTTTAAAATGTTGATCTGTGTTGGAATGATGAACTGTGGTGTTTTCTAAAGAAATTTGCTTTAATTTTGACATTTTATTGCGGGTTTTCAGAATTAGATAAATATTTGGATGGACAACTACTACTATTTTGGGGGGTCCCCAGAAATATTTAGTCTTTTAAGAAAAGCTGACATAGCTGGAATATTCTGGTCAATTTGTATATGTGAATCCTGAGAGATCACATTCTGAAGTTTCTGAAGTGGCAAAGAGACATGTTCTGATATTTAATAGAGATCTCCAAATTCTCACTAGTTAAATGCAAGAACTTGGAAAGTTCAGATAAAATGCTTTGATAAATTTTGACTTTATAAACTATCATCACTTGCTACCTGAAATTCAGGAAGCAAAAGGTGATGGTATCTTGGGCAGTATATGTCACTACCCAAACTCTTAACTCTTTGTAAGTTGATAATGAAACAGATTTGGCGAGCAAGGGAAACTGAAGCATTGTGGTTAGGAGATAGGGTGGCTAAGATGTACCTTGGCCAGAGGATGGCTTGGACTCTGCTGCTCTTTTCAGCGCTCAGCCTTTAGCAGGTCCGCTTCAGAATGGACTGAAGTGCAGATGGTTACAGCTTTTTTCTTATTTTTGTAAAATTTAATTCACTCTACTCTTATTATTTTGTCTGCTTGAGTAAAGTGTTATTCTTTCATTTTACCTCATCTTTTCGTAATAAATAGCAGTCCATGGGAGAATCTGGTTTGCAGAGGTGTCATCCAGAGGGGATTTTGTAGTTGTTTTTTAGTTACAAATTCCTGAGATAGTTCACATTTAGTCTACTTGGATTGTTTAATAAACATTGTTAAACTGGGGTGTAGGCCATGTGGTGAAATTACATTTTGTTTATTTATTTTCTTATTTCTAGGTCCAAGCATCCCATTTTGAAGGCCTAATCACGACCATAGTTGGGTATATACTTCTAGCAATAACACTGATAATTTGTCATGTATCCTTTAATGAACCAGCTTAGTGTTCAGTAATGTTATTGTGCTTACCCAAGGGTGGTTCTTATTAATGACAAAACTATTTCTCTCTTCTTGTCCTTTTAGTAGAAGTTGTAGGTATTTGTAGTGAGGATGAGAGCAGAAAAAATATGGAATAAATTCTGTCAAATAATATTAACTGTTACCTAAATAGTTACCTGATCCTTTTTTTAATTAAAAAAAAATTTTTATTGAAGTATAGTTGATTTACAGTGTGTTCATTTCTGCTGTACAGCAGAGTGATTCAGTTATACATATGTATACATTCTTTTTTTAAATATTCTTTTCCATTATGATTTATCATAGGATATTGAATATGTTTCTCTGTGCTATATACAGTAGGACCTTGTTGGTTTTCTGTATCTTTCTTTAAATGTTCAGGTTTTCCTTGACTACATGCTGTAGGGCTTGGCAACTCTTGTTAAATTTCATAGGTCTCGTCGCTTGCTGGGAGTCTGCTATATTGTTGTGAAGGTAATTCCTGTTATAACTTAAGACTGGAAATGATTTCTCCCATTTGAGTGATGTTGATGACCTTTGTTTTTACTTAAGGTCTCTTTGCTAGTGGTGGTAGAAATTGGAGTGTTCCCTCTCATTTGTGGCTGGTGGCTGGATATTTGTTCCCTGGTGAGTTTATTATTCATTGTCATACAATCTAATAATTTAAAGGCTTTTTAAAAAGTGGTCTTTAGGGTGTGTTCCTTTAATGTAAAGTCAATATTTGATAATAGTTTGTTTTTTTCTGAGAATGTATCATTGTAGAGTCTTAATGTTGCTAATTTTTCCTGAGTACCTGATTTTTGTGAGGCTCTGTGCACATTTCTGATGTTAGAGTATTTTGACTGGAACCTTCCTGATAACCAGTGGAGAGTTCTCTTCCTCGTTTAACTCTTTTGAGTTTTATGAAGATGCCAAGATGTTGTGTATAAAACGAGTAATTCGAGGGAGGTCCTGGTGGTCTATTGGTTAGGACTGGGTGCTTTCACTGCTGTGGCCTGAGTTCAGTCCTTGGTTGGGGAACTCCCGCAGGCAGCACCATGCGGTGCAAAAAAAAAAAAAACCGAAAAAGAGTAATCTGAAAAGAAGACTGCCTTTGTAGTAATTAATTCAACCTAACCATTTGTTTTAACTAAAGTGTTTAGTCTTGATTAAAATCTTTAATGACTGTCAGTGATCATCAGTTTTTTCTTTTCTTTTTTAATTAATTTATTTTTGGCTGCATTGGGTCTTCGTTGCTGCACGTGGGCTTTCTCTAGTTGCAGAGAGCAGTGCTACTCTTGGTTGTGGTGCGTGGGCTTCTTATTGCGGTGGCTTCTCTTGTTGCGCAGCACAAGAGGGTGGGCTTCAGTAGTTGTGGCACGTGGGCTCAGTAGTTGCAGAGCGCAGTCTCCGTCCATAGTTGTGGCGCACGGGTTTAGTTACTCCGTGGTATGTGGGATCTTCCCGGACCAGGGATTGAACCCATGTCCCCTGCATTGGCAGGCGGATTCTTAACCACTGTGCCACCAGGGAAGTCCACTTTTTTACTTTTCAAAAAAAAATTAAATGTAGAAAAGCTGCCTTTGGTTCTGAAATAACATTTTCTTCCATACCTTACTATTAAAACTTGTCATGTCGTGCCCCGGTCCAGGAAAATCCCACATGCCGAGGAACGGCTGGGCCCGTGAGCCATGGCCGCTGAGCCTGCGCGTCCAGAGCCTATGCTTCGCAACGGGAGGCCACAACAGTGAGAGGCCCACGTACCGCAAAAAAAAAAAAAAAAAAAAAAAAAAAAAAAAACTTGTCATGAATTCATACATGTAACCAAGAAAGGAAAGTATTACGTTAACCAGAAATGGTTCTTTCACAATAGCAATATTGGTAAAGTTCTTATTCACCAACTGGTTTATCAGTATTGCCTTTGTAAAATTTCTGAAGTGTCATATACGTCTTTGAAATGGTATCCAACCTATATCATTTGTATTTCTGTGATACGATGAAATGGCTTTAAGAGAACTGTAATTCTAGAAACATCAGAACCTACATGCATAGTGATTCATTCACTTCCTAGAATATGAAGGTATTAATTCAGCAGATGTAAGCAGTACAAATCTCTCTCACGTGTACTGTTTTGATTTAGGAAATGTTTGATGCTACTCTGAAAGATCGAGAACTGAGCTTTCAGTCGGCTCCAGGTACTACCATGTTTCTGCATTGGCTGGTGGGAATGGTATATGTGTTCTACTTTGCCTCCTTCATTCTGTTACTGAGAGAGGTAAGTTCTACAGGGAAGTTCCAACACTGTACATTTACGAAAAGGACTTTTGCCTTAACCATAAGTCATACCTTAAAGGCTATGATGGTTTCCTAGCTAAATCATTTTCTCTGTTATTTTATTCTAAGAGGGAACAGCTAATAGCCTAGTTTGGCTCAGTTGCTTTAAACTGTTTTTTAGTAATTTGTCTCAAAAATTGACAAGTTTTATTATTTCTGTCTAATTAGTTTTGAGTTTGAAAGATGAATAGACTGAGGGATAAAAATTAAATTAAAACACTTGTTTTACTTGGTATTTTAACCATCCTCAAATACATATTCTTGGAACTTTATGTGATGTGAGCCTGTCTTGGACTTCATCCAGGGACATTTAATGCTGGAAATACCCAAAGGGTATGGTATTGCAGGATCAAATATGTAAAGTGGTCTTGAAGCAGATACCTTAAGTATAGAATTATAGTGAGGGTCCTTTATGATTCTGGTTCACTCACCAGATGGGTACTTTTACTAATCCTGTTTTCAGAATACAGTCCTTACTGATTTGGGGGCAGTGAAAATAGGGTCAGTATTTGACTAGTATACATCTCATGCTTAGTCATCTGCTACAAAATGAAGTATAAAACTTGAGTAATTCTGATAAGTGTACTTTCCTCTGTGCATTCTTTCCCCAAATAGTACTGCATGCTCACTCTGTGCCAGACACTGTGATGTATGCTGGGGTAATAGTGAGAAACAGAGACACAGTCTCCACTCTCCTTGATTTTTGCATCCTGGGAAGGGATACAGCCATGGAACAAGTCAGCTTACTCCATTGAGAGTGCTGATGGAGATATGCAGGGCCCAAAGGAGCAGGCTGACGACTAATCCAGTGTGAATGGAACACAGAAGCACAAAGGCTTAATGCAGTTCTTGGTTACTTTGCTCTTTGAGAGATTTGAGGAGTTGGGGATGAACCTGGGGGCCAAAATATTCTCCTGAATCATATAGTATAAGTTCAGTAAATTCTGTTTGCAAACAAAGCTTGTATCCTTGTTTTGAAATTAGTGATTGAGACTACATTAATAATGTGTTTTTTAAATTGTTATTATACCTGACCTTTAAATTGCGTTGTTCAGTGATTAAGTATTTTATACTGAATTTTTTCATTTTATCAATGTGGTGGTTTTTTGTTGATACAGAATCCTAGTATTTTAGAGTTAGATTGAACCTTAAAGCTCACATATCATAACCCCTTTGTTTGGAAGGTGGAGAAATAGAATTTGGGCAGATGAGATGCTTTTTATACAGGGTAGCCCAGTGAGTGTGAGCCACCCAGAACTAATCCCCAGACCCATTCATTGCCCATCGCCCATAGCCTTTAGGGTTGATGATTCCTACTGAGCAAGGGGAAAAGATGTAGATGGTAAAATGAAGATACTGAGAAACTGAAGGTTTTTTAATTAATGTAACTCTTTTTGGGAAGTGTGAGACTGAAATCACATCTTCCGTTTAGGACACTTATAAATTGTAACCTAATCCTTTCCAGATTATACAATATAGTGATAATTTTTATAAAAATACTTATTTTTCGAGACTTCCCTGGCGGTCCAGTGGTTAAGACTCTGTGCCGCCACTGCAGGAGGCATAGGTTCTATCCCTGATGAGGGAACTAAGATCCCTCTTGCCACGTGGCGAGGCCAAAAAACCAAACAAACAAAACTTATTTTTCATCTTGGAGATCTAGATTTCTTGACAAATTGTACTTAAATTTTTCCACTGAATGATTAAAAGCATCAAAGGACATCAAACACAGGATAGTTTTAATAAAGATTCTGATTTAGAAACTTCTTTTCCCAGGAAAACTATATGAATTTTCTAGGGCCCATTTTATAAGATGCCAAAATAATTTTAAGAGCTTATTTCTCTATTAATGTTTTAGCTCATATACAGAGCCTAAAGACATTGGTTAAGTATTTATAGCATTTAAAATATATTTGCAGGTACTTCGACCTGGTGTCTTATGGTTTCTAAGGAATTTGAATGATCCAGATTTTAATCCAGTACAAGAAATGATTCACTTGCCTATTTATAGGCATCTCCGAAGATTTATTTTGTCAGTGGTAAGCATGCTTTCTTTTGTTTTTGAAGTAAAATGGGCTACCCTTTAGATTTTTTTTTTTTTTTGGTCAGGAGGACTGGTAGAGTAGATTGAATTAAGTTTATCTAAGCCTGTGGAAGTTGCTTATCAAATAGCTGTTTTATTGGTTACTTCGATAAAAATAAAATGTAAGTAAACAAAAATGCCTTTTGGTTCTTTAGTAGTATAATTGATTGCCAAATTATGGGTCTCTGAATTACTTTTAATTTGCATTGAAGCAATGGAGACTTGTTAATAGCTTCTAAATTAAACTCTTAACAGAAGCAACTCAAAGTTTCTTCCTTGCCTCGAAGAAGAAATTACCTAGTTAAATCTAAGTTTTTCCAAGATAAAATTCTAAAAGCAATGATGTGTGTTCTTTGGAAACTTTTGTAGCCATTAGTATGGGTCATGTCTTATTGTTACAGGTGGTTTATTAAGATGCAGGCAATTTTGATCCTTCATTATGAGTTTCTAGCTCTCTTTTCACATACCATGCAGTGATTATCCTTTGTGGCTCCTGTTTGAGCCTTCGTGTCCTAGAGAGAGAGAGGAGCAGCTGTCCCAGGTATGCAGTCTCCACATAGAGTGAGCCAAGTATAGTGTGCTGAATGAGAACACTCAGTGGCCTGGGCGCGTATAGACTTGGATGGTGTGTTGGATGTGTACGTTCAGAAGTCTGCCTGTCTCTCAGATTCACAGTGATTACAGTGGTCCCCTGCCCTTTTTCTTGCTGCAGATTGTCTTTGGCTCCATTGTACTCCTGATGCTTTGGCTACCTATACGGATAATTAAGAGTCTGCTGCCTAATTTTCTTCCGTACAATGTCATGCTCTATAGGTAAGTTGTTGAAATTCAGAAGCTTTACTAATTTAACTCTGGTAGGGATTTGATATTCAGAGTACACTTATTTAAAACATTCATTTCTTACAGATATTAGAAATCATCTGATAACTAAATTTTGCCATGTTCTAAATCACATGTTAGTTTAGCAGTTACATGTTCCAAAGAAGGACTGACTTTTCTGCAAATGAAGTGTGCCTTTGATTAGCATTGAAATGTTTAACATTCCTAATGAGAGATACCTAGTAGCATCATCTTTGTATGAAAAGCACATCATAAGTAATGTAGCCATAGATATACATTTAATTGTAGATTAAAATAGGCTGTATGGCTTATAAATGGAAAATCTTTTTTTGATTTAAAGACTTAAGTAACCTGGAAACCTAGTCTCCACCATTCCTCCTATAATCCCTTTTTCAGTGATTTGCCTCATCCCTTCTGTCACCTAAATATGCCAGGCAAATTGGATTTCTTCCTCAAATTTACTTGTAATTAGTCTTTAAATCTTGTCAGTTCTAATTCTTTTTACAGTCTCTTATCTAATTCAATGTGATTTACCACTTAATACCTTAGTTTAGGCCTTCCTGTTTTTTTCCCATTTATAATCCATCCTTAACATACCTGCCTCTTCCTCCATAACTTACACGATAATATCTGGGTCATTTAGAATGACATCCAAGGCTCGGCATCTCACACTGCCTTTCGAGCATCTTGTCCAGCATTGTCTGACTTGAATTCTCCTTTCCAGCCACGCTCAGCCTCCATTGAGTCTCCCCATAAATGCCTAGCTGCTCCTGGTCTTTCCCTCTCTGTTTGGAATGACCTTCTTCCCCATGTTTGCCTGGCATGCTTCTGCTGTCTTTTCATCAAAATCCAAATCGAGGTTTTATTCTGAGTTTTTCCCTACCTAGAGAAAGTCGGTTCTCCCTCCTTATGTATTTGGGTCGTCACAGTGAGAACCAGGAAGCACGGTTTCTGGCTTTATATATTGTTGGCGTAGACCCATTTTTTGGTAGTTCTTTATACCTAGAATTTTAGCTAAGTTTTTGTAACAGCGTTTAGTCTGTTCTTCCATTCAGCAAAATTGAGGGCCCATTATATAACAGGTTCTTTTCTATGTACAAGGGATGTAACAGTGAACAAAACAGAATAAAGAAAAATCTGTGCCCTTGTGGAGCTTATATTTCACTTGGGGAGACAGCCAATAAAATAGATAAAATACATAATATGTCAAAGGGTCGTAAGTGCTATGGGAAAAAACGAAGCAAGGACGTGACTAGTGAGGACCTGAGGAGGTGACAGGTGAGGAAGGCCCTGAAGGAGGAGGGGATGAGGGAGGGAGCCATGTGAACCCCTGAAGGCAGAATGTCCTTGCAGGGGAGGCGGGCACATGCAGTGGCCTGAGGTCTGTTTGAGGAGCAGCAGGGAGACCAGTTTGGCTGCAGTAAAAGGAGGAGAAAAGTAGTTGGCTGTGAGGTCAGAGAGGTCATGGAAAGCCAGGTCCTAGAGAGCCTTGTAAGCCATTGTAAGTAAGCATTTTGGCTTTAACTTGAGTGATTTGGGGGCTTCTTGGAAAGGTTGAGCAGAAGAGTGGTCTGACAGAGGTTTCACAGGAATCACTCTGGAGGCTGTGACAAGAGCCAGGGTTGGGATGGCCAGGGCCAGAGCAGGAGGGCAGCTAGGGGTAATGCCATGATCCCCGTGGGAGGCGACGGTGGCTGAGAGGGAGGAAGTGGCAGTGGAGTCATGAGAAGTGGTTAGATTCAGGGTATCAGGGTACAGTCAGTAGGATTCTCTGGCTTGTTTGAATGTTGGGTGAAGAAAGGCAGTCAGGGATCTAAGTATCTGTCCTGAGCACCTGGAAGGATGGAGTTGCCATTTACTAGGATGAGGAAGATTGCGGAAGAGCAGGATTTAAGGGGAAGAGTGGGAACTTGATATTGAACATGATCAACTTAAGATGTCTCATGTGTACTATGAAACGTTGAGTTGGCACTTTGGATGTATAAGTTAGGAATTAGGGAAGATGTCTGAGCAGTATATAGAAATTTACAGAAAGGTGCTATTCGAAGTCACAGGAGGTCGCATTCAGCGTGTCTTGGAAAGGTGTTCATGGAGAAAGTGTTCTAAGGAGCAGTGAGCGACCAGTTGTGTAATACGCTACTAAGCCGGCACATGAGGTGAGGACCAAGACCTGACCGCCACTTTAACAACACGAAGGTCATTGCAACCCTTGTCGGGAGCAGTTTTTGGTTGAGGGATGTTCCTTGTTCTTCAAGGAAGAATGGATATGAGGTGATAAAGACAGTGAGTTCATTTGACTCTTCAAGGAGTTTTGCTGTCATTCCATTAAATGTCTAATATGATACAGTTATAAGGGAAAATCGAATTCACATTGTAAAATATGGCTTTTCGTAACTCTCAGTGATGCTCCAGTGAGTGAACTGTCCCTTGAGCTGCTTCTGCTTCAAGTTGTCTTACCAGCGTTACTTGAACAGGGACACACGCGGCAGTGGCTGAAGGGACTGGTGCGAGCGTGGACTGTTACTGCTGGATACTTGCTGTAAGTATAGGCAGGTGACTCGTACGTGTGTCATTTGTGTCAGTTTAATAACCTTTCTGAAAAAGTATGCCCCACTCAGGAAAAGTTAGTTTTAATAAGAGACAATTTAGTGTTATCTGCAGGTGTATTGTTTAAAGCTTATTAAAGTTTTAAATTTTTCTTATTTTCCTAATCATTGTGTATCCTTTTATGGAGAAATGTGTACATGTTTTTACCCTCTCACAGAGGGTTGCTGCTGGCCCAGGTTCTTTCATTTCATTACACAGGGTAAAAATAAAATACTTTTCAGTGCATTAAAAACAAACCAAGTTACCCTTATTTTAGAAGTCCTAACCTGATAAGTGAGTTAGCTCTTCTCAGATTTGGTTTCTTAGTCATTTAGTCAGCATGATGCATTTATGTGTTTTCAAGCTTCATATATTATATACTTATTTAGAAGTTTAATCTCGGTAGTTTAAACATTTTTTCAGAAAATATGTGGCATCCTGTAGATACCTTAATGTGAAATATAGGCATACTTTCTTTTATTGTGCTTCACAGATACTGTATTTTTTACAAATTGAAGGTTTGTGGCAACCTTGTATTGTCAGATAATTGTTAGCATTTTTTAGCAATAAAGTATTTTTAAATTAAGACATATACATTGTTTTTAAAGACATAATGCTACTGCACACTTAATAGATGACAGTATAGTATAAACATAACTTTTGTATGCGCTCGGAAACCACAAAACTTGATTGCAATGCAATACTTGCTTTATTGCAGTGGTCTGCAGCTAGACCCACAGTATCTCCAATGAATGCCTATATGCATTTGGTTGTATTTGAACATTTATCCTTGTCTAACAGCTCAGTGCCCTACCGTGAGCCCCCTCCTTCCCCCCATCTCATTTGTGCCTTAACTGATTTGTGGCTTGATGTTTTAGTTGAGCTGCGTGTCACAGCAGACACAGTAGTCATCTACAGAGAAAAAAAGAAGTTGATAGTTTTTTCCCTAAAATTCTTCACATAGAGTATCTTGGGCATTGCACTTTTTTTTTTTTTTTTTTTTTTTCAGTTACTGATTCTTCTCAGATACTGGCTGAAGAAAACATAAAATAGATTGAATGGGTATTTTGTATGTTAATTTATGTTTGGGAAGGTCTAATTTAAAGCACGCAGCAACATTTAGAGCTGATTGAGATAATAGCAGTGCTGTGCATAGATTCTACTCATACATTTTCTCCCCTAAGTAATAATTATCAAGAAAGTAAATCTCGCGTCTCGCGTCTTCTGTTTATTCTGATCTGAGGTGAGCATTTTCACTGATGCAATTTTTACACAGGGATCTTCATTCCTATTTGTTGGGAGACCAGGAAGAAAATGAGAACAGTGCAAACCAACAAGCTAACAATAACCAGCACGCTCGAAATAACAACGCCCTCCCCGTGGTGGGGGAGGGCCTGCATGCAGCCCACCAAGCCATCCTCCAGCAGGGCGGGCCTGTTGGCTTCCAGCCTTACCGCCGGCCCCCGCATTTCCCACTCAGGGTAGGTGCTGCCCCGACTTAGCAGGGATTGAGCTTTCCAGCTTCTGTTGAGGAGTTTTTCTGCTGTTATCGGCGCTGTTAGTATATGGTCCTCTGTGTAGACGCAGCTTGCAGTCTTCCTGACAAGAACCCACATTTCAGGCCTCTCATTCTGCAACACATAATATATGTAAATGTCGGATAAGCTGATGGAATTTTAGATGTAAGCCGTGGAGTTGGGAGTCCATGTGCTGTTGGTCCCTGCTGTTGGAAAGGAACAAGATAGAAGACCCTAGATCAAATAAGAAGTTGCCATTCCTGATTCATTTCACCTGTGTGTCAGGAACTGGAGGGGGTATTTTAGTGTTTTCCTCTCTTTAATCCTTGTAGTATTAATCCCAATGCTGCAAGGTATGAGTAGTAACCTCTTGTTTACATCTGATAAAACTGAAGACCAGATTGGTTAAGGAAGTACTTGGCTCAGCAAGACTTACCCCCAAACTCCACCAAAACTGTTCCTGTCAAGGGTCCCTAGTGACCTTCATGGGGTTAGATTCAATGGCCAGGTGTTAGTCCTCACGTCACCTGCTATATTAGTAGCGTGTCATATGATTGCTCACTTCTTGCTCCGCAAAACACTTTTTTGAAAGTTGTTCAGGAAGCTTCGTGGAGGAGTTGATACCTTTAAGTCTTTAAAGTTTGGGGTCAGGCAGATTAAAAAATGGGAAGTGGGAAGGGCATTCCAGCCCTGTGTCAGGACAAGAGGCAGGTTAGCCATGGTAGGTATGGAACCTGCAGGGAGGTGAATGTGTGGAGTAGGGGGTGGGAGGTGCAGGCGAGCTGCAAGAGCTGGGGAGGGAGCTCTCAGAGTTGGGGGTGGAGCTGTGAGACTTGAGGCTTTCGGATTGACAAAAGGTATTTTCTAAGCAGAAGGTACTTCTGGCCTAGATTAGAGAGAGAATCACTAAGGGATTTCTCTGGCAGCGAAAGCTGACCAAGGCTCCAGCCCCCTCTCGGAGTGTTATCATCATCAGTGCTTTCCAGTCTTCCTGCTGGAGCTCTGCCCTTTGGGCTTGGTCAGTCAGGTCAAGGCAAGCAGCACCCTCTCTTTCTGTCCAGGGTAGCCACTTCCCTCTTGTCTCGGTGTATTTCCTTTTTATCTGCACTTCTCAGTAGCTGAGAGCCACCAGCTATAGCTACAACGGCTGTTTACTTTTAAACTTAATTAAAAATAAATACAGTTTGTAAATATGTGGTGTGATGGATGTGTTAATTACCTTGATGGTGGGAATCCCTTCACGGTGTATACATATATCAAATCACATTGAACACTTTAAATATATTACAGTTTTATTTGTCATTTATACCTCAGTGAAACTGAAAAAAGAAAAGAAGGTACATTTCTTGTAGACAACACACACACTCAAAGTAAATAGAATTTAAAATTCCTTTACTCATTCATGGTGACCCCATGTCAAGTGCTTAATGGCCACCTGTGCCAGTGGTTCCTGTGTCGGGCAGTGCAGGAGTAGACATGTCCATTATCACAGAAAGTTCTAATTGGATAGCACTGTTAGGGAATAAGCTTTCCTTTCATGAAAAGTTGTTTTTGAGAATTTGATAAAAATAAGCAAATATTGTTAGTTTTAATTAATAGTGAGGGAAAATTTAAGCTGATTATGTTTTTTTGTTTGTTTGTTTTGTTTTTTTTTGCGGTACGCGGGCCTCTCACTGTTGTGGCCTTTCCCGTTGCGGAGCACAGGCTCCGGACGCGCAGGCTCAGCGGCCATGGCTCACGGGCCCAGCCGCTCTGTGGCATGTGGGATCTTCCTGGACCGGGGCACGAACCCGTGTCCCCTGCATCGGCAGGCGGACTCTCAACCACTGTGCCACCAGGGAAGCCCTAAGCTGATTATGTTTTATTTTTGTGCTCTCTGATTCAAAATATATTGGTACTTGCTGATGTATCTGATTATATGAAAGTGGGCACAGTTTCCTTTCGGCCAAAATTATAGTTAATATTACCTAAAATGAAAATTTCCTTTTTATGTGAAATGGAAGGAATCCTGGAGATACAAATATAGGCAGATCGTTTTTACTGGGAGAATTGTGTTGATTCTTTGAGGAGTGTCATAAAATGCATTGAGCACAGATGAATTCTGTTTATGCACTGCTGTGTTTTGCCTTGCAGATATTTTTGTTGATTGTCTTCATGTGTATAACCTTACTGATCGCCAGCCTCATCTGCCTTACTCTACCAGGTATGAGGTTATCCTAGCTCTCCGCTAATGACATCATGAAAAGATGCTTTGTTTTAAAAGGGTATGTCTTGCTGACATGTGATCTTTCATTACATATAAACTTGAAGTAGTTATCCCTATTTTTATTGAATATGGGATACTGTTCTCTATAGGGCTCTACGTTTCGTTGGACTCATTTGTATCGGAGCAGAGGGGGACAGAGTCAGTATACAATTTATGATTAATTTTTGGAAGTAAAGTACTTGTGGTCACTCATTTTATATAGATATTTTCTTATTGCAGTATGGGTTCTCAAAAAGTCATCTGTTGTCTGGGATTTGCTTCAAAGCGTTCTGGGGGTGGGGAAGTAGGCAAAACTATAGAAGATGTTAAGATTGGCTGTGAATTGATAATTTTTGAAACTGGGTGATTGAGTACAAAGTATTTTATTATAGGATTTTCTCTGCTTGGGTATATGTTGAAATTTTTCATGAACTTTTTTTTATAAAAAATTTTTTAGCATTTTAAAATAAAAATGTATGCATTAAAAAAAGTCATCTGTGTGGCTTACGTCATTTTTTTCAAGCCAGTGTTTTGATGTTAATTATGTTTGCCTTCATTATGTAATTATCTTTCCAATCCACTGCATGCTATTGCTAGAGACCTTTATGAAGCCAGGCTATTTCCCTTTATCACCTGGTAATCATAAATACTAATCACTAAATTTCAGCTAAACAGGGTTTCTTCATCTAACAAGTAAGAAGCTGTCGATGAATATAGTAGTTTGTCATCTTCTGCAGAGGTCAGGGGTAGATGGGGGTGGAGTCCAAAGCCAGTGACCAAGTGTCAAAAACAACCTGCCCCCCCCCCCCCCCGCCTCCTAGTTAGTGTTATAGCAAGCCAGAAGATTCTGAATCATACTGATATGTGTTAGCCACTTAAATAATCAAGTGAAGATAATTTTCAGGTCTTATCAAGCCTGTACATGTTACTGAGTTAGTGTCTTGATTATAGCACTAACTCAGTATAACTTTATAAATCAAATTTGTATTAAATACTTGAGTTTTCCCATGAGGGCTAAGGCTGGGGAAGAGCAGCTAGTTAATTTCAAGTGAGGTTTCTTAAAAAAAAAAGAATAGTTTCTAATTGGTAAGAGTTGTGATTCACCTTAAACTGGTAAAAATAAAGTTGTTTTGTTTTTCACTGTTTCTGCACAATGATTTTTGACCGTGAGAACTTTGCTCTTAAGTTCACTACTCAGACCTCAGCTGTTAAAAAGACAAAGTCTAGTTAACTATTGGGTGCAGTGTAGTAAACATTGTTGAGAAAACTCAGTTTCTGAACTTTGGACAGCTTTACATTTGTGATTTTTATGTTCCATTTTCATGTTTTTATCAGAAATATTAAAAAGTTAACAAAAGAAGGAAACCTAGTTTTAGTGCTTGAATTTGGCAATACAGGTACATTAATTTCATTAAAGATTGTTAAGTAAATATTTCCCTGTTAATCCAGTCCCACCATCTAGTGGAAGGAATGCAGTTATGTTTAATCATAGAAATGCTTTTGTCATAGTACACATTTAAGGTGGTGAGGATGCTGTTTTCCCCATAGGTTGCTTTCTTGTAGCTGCATTTTAGCTAATGTCAAGTTACTGCAAACTAGAAACTAGCCCTGACCTCTCAAAAACACTTTAGAACTATGTGAAGTATGGAATGAAAAGCAGCCTTTAAATTTTTTTTTTCTATTTTATTTTTGGCTGCATTGCGTCTTCATTGTTACGCACAGGCTTTTCTCTGGTTGTGGCGAGGGGGAGCTACTCTTCGTTGCAGTGCGCAGGCTTCTCATTGTGGTGGCCTCTCTTGTTGCAGAGCACGGGTTCCAGTAGTTGTGGCACATGGGCTCTAGAGCACAGGCTCAGTAGTTGTGGTGCATGGGCTTCGTTGCTCCATGGCATGTGGGATCTTCCCGGACCAGGGCTCGAACCTGTGTCCCCTGCATTGGCAGGCGGATTCCCAACCACTGCGCCACCAGGGAAGCCTTAAATTTTAAAAAACCAACCGAAAAAGAACAACAAAGAATCTTGGAGTAGAAATATGTATATATAGAATGCTAGACATTTTTACCGAATTATCAGTGGTATTTTTATATCTTTAACGTGCACGTGTGTTTGTTTCATGTAGATAAATACTTAACGTGTATTTGTCTTCAAAAAATGAGTTATCTTCATATCCAAGCTGTCTGTGAGATTGCAAAGAAGTGTGTAACGTTATTGGCACTGTGGCTTGTAAACCTGACTGTTGGGGTGGTTTAGCTTGACTGGAGGCAGTGTGGGTCCGCAGTCAAGAGCATGAGCTCTGTCCTGTAGACAGGAGTTCACATTCAGCCTCCGCCCTTGTGTGACCTTGCTTGGGCAAGGTTCTGTTGCTGAGCCTCGGTTTCTTAGTCTTCAGAGTGGAGGCCATTGCTGCTTGCAGGGTTGTTAGGAGGATTAATGAGAAAATGTATGGAACATGTTCAGCACAGCCACTAGCTCCTTTTAGACATTGAAAGGTAACAGGTAAGTACTGTATTAAGGAGAAAAAGACACTGGAAATGGGGTCTTCCTTTTTTCTCCAGCCTTATTAAGATAAGTAACCATGTAAAGAAAGTTACTATATAAATGATCTTGACTGATAGTTAGATTTTTGTGGGTACATTGTGGAGTTTATTTGTAATAACTCTTTGTGTGAGGCAGTCCCTTAGACAACTTTCACATGTTTCCTAATATTTAGAACTTAATTTTTTTCCTAAGAAAAACTAGTGTGGTATTCTTTGTTAATGTGCCCACTTCTGATTAAAATAAGCTTAGTTTTCTATCTTAATGAATGACCCAATTGAAAGAAAGTTACTCTAAATTATTTGTAATGTTCCTAAATGTTAAAAGTATTGACAACACAAATAATAGAAAGTAAATTTTCCATTTTTGGCCTGTTATGTGTATAATGATTTCATTTGATAATACAGACAATAAAAATAACACCCCCCCTCAAGTCGTTTCAGTCCCCAAAGAACAAGTAATTGGCCTGGCAAGTCAGAATGCATGTCACAGGAGAGCTCATCCCCAGTGACTTACTGTGCTCTGGTTGTATCTTAGTCAAATAATTACATTCTTTTGAATTTGGGGGGTTTTGTTTTTATTTTGTTTGTTTGCTTTTAACAAAGACACTGATATATCAAAATGTGATGTCTTTTTAATAATGACTTAAAATGACTGAAATTTTTGAAAATACTAGTAGTACAACATTGACATCAAGATTAGAGTTCTCTTTACATGACTACATGTCTAATATATCAGCTTTTCTATTTTCAGTATTCGCTGGCCGTTGGTTAATGTCATTTTGGACGGGGACTGCCAAAATCCATGAGCTCTACACAGCTGCTTGTGGTCTCTATGTTTGTTGGCTAACCATCAGGGCGGTGACAGTGCTGGTGGCATGGATGCCACAGGGACGCAGAGTGATCTTCCAGAAGGTTAAGGAGTGGTCCCTTATGGTAGGTTTTCCTAATACAGACTGATCTTGTCTGACAGGAGTAGTGAATATTTTTCCAGTAATTTCTTTTAATCTTTTCACTTTTGTTTCTTCACTGTGTTGATAGAGTCAAGAGAGTTGATTTTTTTTGAATTACAAAGAGTGTTCCTTTAAGACAGTAGTTTTCTGGTTCATTCTGAGAAATATAGTCAGATGTATTTGAGGGTTAAAAGAAAATCATGCTATTAAATGATCTGGTAAGGCCCTTGAGTAATAAGATATTCTGTAGAATTTAAAATCAATTTGTTTAAGTAGAAATTTCCTTTAATGATATTTTTTCTAAAATCTGATTGAAAAAAGATTTTTTAATACATAAAATCTTGACTTCAGGATTAAGTCAGTGTTTTTCACATAAATGGGAAATTGTGTGGTAATTTACTGATTGATCATAATGTTGGCTATGACTGGTAAATATGTTTAGGTCACTGCTTTATGCCTTTTCATTTGTATAATCAACTCTGGTTTTGTATCTGAATTTATGTCTTGATTTCACTGAAAGTTTAATAGCTGTTTAATATTAGTGTTGAAAGAAAAACATAGGAGATTCATTGTATATTAAGAATGGAGGGAGTTGATTGCTGTGTAATCCATGAGATGAGACACTTACCTATATTTAAAATACAGAAACTAGCTAGTACCACTTTTCATTTGATATTCTTCCATATCATGTTGCCATGTGAAGAAGTAGGTACTGCCTCAGTGCACACCATTTTTAATCTCTTGCTGTTGAAATGGATGTACTTACTGAGGCTACCTGAAGAAAAAGGGACATCAAGGCCACTTTAAAAATTGATTTCTTTGTCAGGATTTCATAGTGGCTCTTGCATGTTATCTCTTCTCTTTGTGTCTACTTTATTTTCATTTTGCCACTTTGTCCAAATTCTAGAGCTGTGTTAATAGAATAGCCCTGTGGCTAATGGCTACCATATTGCACAACACAGATACAGGACATTTCTGTCATCATAGTAAGTTCTGTTGGACTGTACTGTTCTCAGGGGAGCTAATTTGATCAACTTGGTAATTACCTTAACTGGGGTTATGCAGAGCCCTTCAACTATACCAGTCCATCTCAGGGGTCACAGGTCAGCCTGTGGGTGGACCACCACTGGATCAGGGGCCTGGGACAACCAGTAGCTTTTCATGGACAAACAAAAGCCTACTCCTGAGACTGAGATTGAGAAAAGCAGCAAAACCACCTGATTAATATATGTAATAAAATGAATTTCCTATAATTTTGTAGCAATAATGTATAGTAATTTCATGTTTTTGTTATAGCTTGAGTTTTTATAGTTACACATTCAGATTTCATTTAAACATGTAACATAAAATGTAAGTTGTTTAAGGTATATATTCGTTCTGTTAGGCATCAGGTCAAAGAAGAGTAAATTTCCACATGAGATAAAGAGCTTGGCTTAAAAGTCATGGAGTCTCTGATAACAAGGCTTTTCATTCCCTGATAGATAATGAAGACCGTGATAGTTGCAGTGCTGCTGGCTGGAGTCGTCCCGCTTCTTCTGGGGCTTCTGTTTGAGCTGGTTATTGTTGCCCCCCTGAGGGTTCCTTTGGATCAGACTCCTCTTTTTTACCCATGGCAGGTAAGTGTGTGTCTTTTGCTCATGATATTTCTTTATGTATTTGGAATCAGAAAAATTCTTAATTGTTTAAAGTGATTTTAAGCAGTTTGTTTAGGAAGATTCCTTAATTTTTTCTGTTGTAGGAACTCATAAAATCGATTAGATAATGCATTTTATCTTTGAAATATGCAGGTCATGCAGCACCTTTAAAATACCTTACTTTATAGGTTTAAAATGTCACTATAGGCTTCACCAGTGTTTAAAGATACAAGCTAACGTGTTGAACTTTTCACTTTTAGTTAGGGTGAGATATCTTGCTCCTTTTGGCTTTGAGACTCAAAGTAGTAACTTACCCTTTTGAAAAATTGCAGCATTTTTTCCCACAAAGTCACAGGCTTATTAAAAAGAGCATTCTGAGGGAACCTATGCAGGTCACAGCAAAGGCCTTAAAATGCTCACGGAAAAAGAAATTTAACTTTTCTGTCATACTTAGAGCCTGAAGTTAACGTCATAGACCTCAAGTTTTTAAGAGATGTTAGGGGAAAGAGCTAGGTATTGACTTCAGTCATTCAAAGGCTTTTCAGCCTTGTTTTAGAAATCTCCTTTTAGTAGATTATGATGAATTTTTCAGAAATGAAAATTGTCCTCTACTTTCCAGATGAAGAACCCCCATAAACTTCATCTAACAGCAAATATTTACTTGAATGCTTTAATGTACATCCAAACCCTGTACTGTATAACTGAGATGGAAATGAGGCTAATGCAGGAACTTCTCAGGGACCTTAAAGGCTGGTGGGAAAGATGGTTACTGTGCTGTGATTGGGGCAAGCACAAGAAGCGCAGCATCGTGTGGGAGAGGCATCTACCCAGCTTGGGGGCTTCAGGTGCGGTCTTCTGCAGTAGATAATGTCTAGGACAGCACGATAGAGTGCGGAGGAGTGGGTGAGAAAGGAAGAAGTGTATTCCAGGAGGGAGCGAGTGGGCAGACCTTGAAGTGAGACAGAGCATACGACATAAGGGACCTCCTCTCATCCGGTGTGCTCATAGATTAGAATCAGAGTGAAAGGGAGCAAGAAAGGGGAATCGTTAAGCGTATATGACGCCTTTCTGTAGGAGCTGCATTGCAGTGTAGTCTAATAGCATCAGTGATTGAAGTAAGGCTGTTTTTCACAGAATAATGCCAGCAATAAAGGTAGAAGAATTAACAATTAATTAGGAAAGTTACTGTTTTGCAATAATTAACAAAATAATTGATTCTAAGGATTGTCAATGGATTCTGAACCTATCAGGTGAAAGTCGATGGTTCTTTAGCTACTGTGCTGCAATAGCAAGTTACCTTGCAGCTCCAGCTTACTGGCATAAAACAACCATTTATTTTGTCCACAGAATCTGTGGATCAGATATTAAGACAGGGTATATTGGCTTGTGTCTGTTTCATGTTATCTGGAGTCTCATCTGGGAAGGCTCAGTGGCTGAGTGTGATCTGACAGCCTTATTAGCTGGCATCATTTGGAGACGTCATCACTCATGTGTGAGAGTTGGTGCTGGTTATTGGTTGCACCGTATCTGGGCTATTGGCTGGAGCCCCTGGATGTACTTGAGCTTTTTTACAGCTTGGTAGCCTCAAGGCACTTGGGCTTCTTACAAACAAGGCAGACCTGCATCACTTTTTATGACCTCTTCTCAGAAGTCCTGCAGCGTTGCTCTTCACTACATTCTGCTGGGTATGAGCAAGTCACAGGTTGGCCTGGATTTAAGGGAAGGGGATATATACCCCTACCACTCCACGGGAGAAGGATTTGCAGTCATGTTTTGATGCCACTACAGTGTAGAAGTGGCTGTTTGCATGGTGACAAAGTGTCACCTTACAGATTACTTGCTACCTCAGAGGGAAACACAACTTTATAGGGGAGGGGTCAGGCGGATGCTACCGTAACCCAAGAGATCACTGCAGATGTGGCAAACAGATGGTATACGCCTCCTGAGGTTGTGCAGTACACGGCACTGAAAACGAGCAAAACAGCCCCTGGGGTCCAGGAGCTAGGCCTCCTGCTGAATGTGAACAATTGACAGAACATCAGCATCACACAAGGCCACTCCGTGACCATGATGGATCAAGACAAACTCAAGACCCCTCCATAATCATGTCTGAACGCAGGCAAAACATGAGTATTGTTCAAACCACAAAAATGCCCCAACATGCCAGTACCCTGGCTGACATGATTGGCTGCTCCTTTGTTTGCTACTATAGTTTGATTAGCCTCAGCTTGTCCCTTCTTCTGGATAAGATTTATTAAGATACCCAATTATAGATTACCTGTACTTTCTACTTAGCATCTGGAATAGAGCAAAGCCCTGCTTCCTGAAATCCTCCCCAAATCACCGCACACAAGCCAGGAAACTGTAATAAGCCTTTTCTAACACTCTCACTAAGGGCTCCAACTTCCCCGTATACTGTTTGTTCTCCCTCACTGCATTGAGTAGTGATGCAGCTTGTTCACTTATGCCTGTGTTCCTGGTGGTCTTGACAGTGCCCGACATTGTGACCTTGGAGAATTATTTGAAATTATTCAGTTTTAAGAATGCTTATATGTTATGACTCATCAGTTTTCACTTTTCAGAATATCCTGCAAAGAAACATTTACATGTGTGCAGGAGACATGAACAGGATTGTTCTGCTATTATATAATTTTTTACCATGTCAAAAAAATTAGAAGCAACCCAGATGTCCATCAATAGAGAATGACTAAATAAAATGTGATATATCTTTGCTTTTGAATCCAGTGCCGCAGTTAAAAAGAAGGAAGTAGAGCTGTGTGTTTCTTTGCTTGTTTGTATTTTTGTTTTGCTATATGTTTTGATATAGATAGCTCTCAGACGTGTTTTTTTTTGTTTTTGTTTTTTTTTTGCGGTATGCGAGCCTCTCACTGTTGTGGCCTCTCCCGTTGTGGAGCACAGGCTCTGGACGCACAGGCTCAGTGGCCATGGCTCACGGGCCCAGCTGCTCTGTGGCATGTGGGATCTTCCCGGACTGGGGCACGAACCCGTGTCCCCTGCATCAGCAGGCGGACTCTCAACCACTGCGCCACCAGGGGAGCCCTCACGTGTTTTTGAGTAGGGGAAAAACACAAGTTGCAAACAGAGTGTGCAGCATGGTATCCTTAATATTCTGGATAAAATCCCAAAGTTTGAGAGAACAGCTTGCTTTTTGTCCATCCCTGACTCTAAGCTGCTTGCCTTTCCTGCGTCAAGTGACTACAGACCTATGGGAGGCTGGACTCTTTTTTAATTCTAGCAGAGGAGCTAGTGTGGTATGTCTTTTTTTGTGGGAAAGGACTGGAAAGCAGTGGATCTTGAAAGAGCTGGAACCTCAGTGATCTGTGGACCTCCTCAGGTGAACATTAACCTCACTTGGGTGCCTTCTGGACTCCCAAAGGCCAAGAGAAAGCTGAGTTGGTGGTTGAATCTTCCCTGCTTGTGAGCCTGGAAGGATAGAGAAAAAGCAAGGAGGACTTCTCCATGTTCTTATTTGGGAATTGTTGGCTTGCTATCCCAGAGGTCTAACAGGCTAAAGATCCTTTTGCAGCCCTTAAGGATATTCTCAATCCAAGCCTCTGAACTACATTGAGTCAACAGAGAAAAATAACACATGTTTTATGTAAGGGGGGCCCAGCAGCCACAGAAAGGAAGGCCAGGCAGAGCCATCAGAACACATGCCCGGTGATGGAGAACTGCTTGCAGAGCCATGAGCATCCAAATAGAAGAATAAAAACACAGGGGTATGTGGGCATGCACACACAGTAGCAGCCATAAAACAGAGTGAAATCGTCATGATGTTACATAGCATGGATTTCAAACAAATTCAGTAAATGAACTAAAGATGTGGCTAGTCAGATTGGAGGCCTGGAAGACTGATGCACAGAGCAAAACTGAAGAATAGGAAATTGAGGGGAGAGGAAGAGTCTTGGAGGATACACCCAGGAGACTTAATATAGCCATAATAAGGGTTCTACAATGCAAAAATATGAGGCAACATTGAAACAAAAATAGGAGACAGCATTGAAACAAAAGTAGACATTTTTAACTGAATTGAAGAAAGAACTGATCTGTAGGTTGAAGGACCTCATCAGGTTTGGTGAAAAGAAAATTGATGAGAAAACGCATATTTGGGCACATCTTGGTAAAATTTCTGAATTAAATCACAAGCTTCAAAAAAAAAGCATACTGGCAGTGGACTTTGCAGCATTGAAACCGTAAGGTAGAAGGGCATTTAGAGACCATTGAGATAAAAGGGACAAAACCCAACCTTCCTATACCTAGAAAAAATGTCATTCACCCATTCGTCTGTCAGGATGAAGAGTGATATTTGAGGTTATGCAAGAATTCAGTGCATGCATCAGCCTCCCACCCTATTTGAAGATGTTTTGGAAGACCAACCAACCAAACCAGAAAATCCATATAAAACTGATACACATATTTCCTGTGGGACATACATGTATAGACATAGATCAGTGCATAAGGAAACAAACGTGGAAGGTACATACCAAATGTTAGCAGTGGTTATTGCTGGGGAGGGATCAGGATTTGGGCTGGTGGTCACAGAGGACTCCAGCCTTCTCTGGAAAGGTTTCAGTTTAATGTAAGAATAGATTTAAATGTTACTTGATACTTTTAAAACATACATGTATATATATTTTTTTAAGATAAACAGAACAGGTTATGAAGGACGTTGTGTGCTGTGTTCAGGGTTGTAAGCACGGAGGTCTTCTTAAATGATCTGACTTGCACTTTAAGAGATCACTTGGGCAGTGGGAGTGGTGATCCCTTTGGCTGCCTGGTGGATAGTGAGGTGGGCAGGCCAGAGGCACAGCAGGGAGCTTGGTGTGACTGGGGAGGTCCTAGTAACAGCTCAGCAGAACTGCGAGCTCACCCGGCTGGAAGCGCTCTGAGCCTTCAGGAGCCCAACCGGAAAAACAGCCCAAGGATGGTTTGCTGAAATAAAATCAGGGCACTGTTTTATTTATTTGCTTGTTCAGATCTCCATTAAACACTTTTCTTAGTTCTCTTGGGAAAAATAATGTACTGTTTGTTTTTGTTTTTTTTTTTTTTGAAAGACACAAGAATGAGTTTTGATAGAAACATTGAACTTGAACTTGAGCTGTTGGGGGAAAAATTCCCTGGATTTTCCAGCGTATTTATTCTTCTGTGAAATTGTTACTAATCCAACAGAATTTTTGTTTTGAAGTTAATAATGCAAGAAATAGCCTCTGTGCTGGGTTTATTGCTAAAAACAAACAAAAATCTGTTAAATGATTTTTATTATCCTAGGATTGGGCACTTGGAGTCCTGCATGCCAAAATCATTGCAGCTATAACATTGATGGGTCCTCAGTGGTGGCTGAAAACTGTAATTGAGCAGGTAAGCAAGTTCGGCTTATGGGACTCTTATTTTCCACGTTCCCACTTTTCTAAGTTTTATACATTTTCTTTAATGAGCATATGTAACTTTTTTTTTTTTTTTAAGGAGAAAGGCAGTTTACTCTTACACCATGAATTTTCATCAGCTACTCTTACCACTTCCCTTATCTGAAAGTTAGCCAGTAGCTTAAAGTGCCTAGAACCCTGACTAAAGTAAAGGCAAAATTTAGCATATGTGCTTTTTTTTAGAGCAGGAGTTCTGATGAAGGCTTGGTAGTCAGTTTTGTAAGCCTGTAGTAAGGAAAAGAGGTTATTGTTCAAGGCAATAAATAAAGAAAATGGCAGGAAAAAAATAGATTTAAAAAAGCAGAGCTCTTTGAGAATATTTTAGCTACGTAACACCTAAGACAGTTTTGTGTTATGGAGCTATCATATAATTTGGTCATTGAGGTGATCACCTTGAAAAAAATAGATCGTACTTCTGTACTTTGATAATAAGGCTAGGAAATAGGATAATTCATTTTAGGAAGATTTCTTCCAAAGTAACCAACATAGTAGATTTTGGTACTTATTTCTTTTAAGTTTTAGTTACCTAAAGAATGGACTTACGGACAACCCTCTTGTCCTTAGGGCAGCATCAAATTAATAAGGTGTTACGGTTTTGTAGCACTGAAGGTATACCTCCTTTTGATGTATAGGAAATACAGTAGTTCTCAGCCCAGTATGCACAAGAAACTCACCCAACAGTTTCTGTACCTGGAGATTTGTGAGGGTGGGGAGAGCCGGGGAATTGGTGTGTGTTTGCATGCATCTCTCAAGTGCGGGCTGATTCTGAAGTGAGATGGATTGCGGGCTGCGTGGCAACATGTCCATTCACGATAGGAGTACAGACCAGTCCACTCTAGAGTTTCCAGATGCGACTCTGACCCTTGTGGAGAATAAGCATGAAGTTACACCTGGGGGCTGTGAAACACCGTTGATCTCTATAATATTTTGCTCTCTGATGCATTCTTTCTCATACACGTGTCTAAGTTTAAGTAAAATGATTGAGAAACACCGGGATGCCTTGCTGCATTAATTTAAATGCATTTGGGTTAAAAGGATTTTGGCGGGCCAGAGGGGACCTGTGGAGCAGCAAGCCTGTTGTCATTCACCTTGAAATGCTCTGGCCCACTTCCGAGGGACTTGGGGATGGGAGTTGCACCACACTGTGTGACTGGGGCCAGGAGAGGTTGAAGTGCTTGGGGAAGAACACAACGCTCTGCTCTTTTGTCCCCTTCTGTATACCATCTTTATTTTCCATTATTCCCAAGATTTCCCCACTGCCATCCATTCTTTCCTCTGCAGTACTATCCCGTAGAACTTTCTAGATGAGATGAAATATTTTAGAAATTCTTGAATTAAAAAAAAATTCACTGTAGAATTCTTTCATACTAAATTGTTCCATAAAATACCTTTCGATTTGTTGAAATTTGATTTATACAGGCTTTTTAGAAACATGCTTCCTGTTTATAATGTTTTCTTATACTCAGATAAAATGAATGCAATCTTGAGTAGTAACACAGGTCACTCTTACACAATTTATTTATGAAGTTACTTCAAGTTGTGTAGCCTTCAACTAATATTATTGGATGCCATCTGGTATCGTATAGCACAAGGCTAGTGTAATTATTATTCTAGATTAGCATCTTATTATTTTATCTCTTAGCAGAGTTAACTGCAAAGTGTAAGGAAGTAAATGCATTTCTTTAAAAACTTATGGACACCATACTTACGTTTGTGTTCCAGAATTTGCCTTGACTTCTGAAAAAATAACAAGTTTGAATCTTTTGGGCTGGTAGATCCAGCTCCCTGTGCTTGAATTCAGCAGAGATTGCTCTGTTAACCTGGAGGAATTTGTCTTGTATCCTTATTCTCATTTTTTACCCCTATGTTTCAGGTTTACGCAAATGGCATCCGGAACATTGACCTTCAGTATATCATTCGGAAACTGGCAGCGCCAGTGATCTCTGTGCTCTTGCTTTCCCTGTGTGTACCTTATGTCATCGCGTCCGGCGTCGTTCCTTTACTTGGTGGGTAATGCTGGCTGAGAGCTTCAGAGAGCACCTTTATTCACATCATTACATTCTTGTCACTTATGATATCAAAGGTTGCCTGGCTCCAAATGCTTTATTGTAAATATAAATCCAGCTAAAACAGTGATTCTAAAAGACTGTTTTTCTTAGATTTCACTAGTTAGGGCAAGATGAGGATCATAAAACACTTTGGTACAGTTTATTCCCTAGGCAGGTGAGAAAGTATTGACATTTAAAAAATGTCCTTTAGCGTAAAAGAAAAACCAAAGAGGAGATGCTAATTTGTGACACTTTAACATCTAGATATTATCAGCTATGTACTGAAGAAACCTCACACGACCTTAAAGCCAGCAATATGTTCAGAATTATAAGCACCGAGTTTTCCCCTCCAGATCTTTTGCTTCTGTTGAATTCCCTCTGTCAGTCACTAGCATTATCATCCAACAAGGTGTATAAGTCAGAAACCTTGAAGGTCATCCGTGTCACCTGAGGCTCTCTGCTCTTCATACTCAGCTGGGTTCCAAGTGCCTCTGATCTGACCTCTGGAACCCATTCTCTCATCTTTGGAGCCCTTGCCTGCAGCTCACGTTGAGATGAACATCAGCTCTCACCTTAACCTCAACCTCTCAGCAGCCTCTCGTCTGGCTGCCTTGTTTTGAACCCTCCATCGCTAATTCATTCTCCACACTGCGGCCACGATGACCTTTCAGAAGAATAAATCTCGTTCATACCTTTTTGGTGAACATCCTTTTGTTGGTTCCTCTGTGCCTTTAGAACACAGTCCAGCTCCTCGGGGTAGTTCACGAGGCTCCTCCTCTAGCTGGGGCTGGCTCCAGCTTGACGGCACTCCTTGCCTCACTCCATTTCATACAGGATGAGTTTCAGTTAAGCGCCCCTCCCCTCTTCTTAGGAAAAGGACATACTTTCATTTCACTGTCAGCCTTTATACACTTAGAGTTTTTCTTTTTTGGTTTTCCAGGTGTTACTGCGGAAATGCAAAATTTGGTCCACCGGCGGATTTATCCATTTTTACTGATGGTCGTGGTGTTGATGGGAATCTTGTCCTTCCAGGTCCGCCAGTTTAAGCGCCTTTATGAACATATTAAAAATGACAAGTAAGTCTAGACTTCATTTGTCTAGCTGCTTTTTGTTAAGATGTCTTATTTCTTAATTATTGTGTCTATTGTGATAAATCACAGGAGGGAAAAGTGCTCAGATTCTGGACGTATTTTGAGGTAGAATTGACAGGATTTGCTAACAGATTGGATGTAGAATGTGAAAAAGGGGGCTATCAGGACTTGGTTGGGTCAAGCAACTGGAAATACGGAGTTGTCATCTACGGAGATGAAAAAGACTGGGAGAAACCGGTTTGGGGAGGAAGAGTTCTTAATGTCCATTTGAAATAATTTTCAGCCTGTTTTCAAATGTTTTGGTCTGACGATATATTAAATAGTTTTAGATAAAAATAAGAAGCCTGCTTTAGGAATTAGCAGTGCCTGCCTAAGCCCTTCTTGCAGCCAGGGGCCATTGGGTTACTCTGACCATTGCTGAGAGAAGCTGTGAGGTTACTGCAGAAGCGTTGTGGCGCCCTCTGTTTTGAGGAAACTCTGCGACCTGACCTCTGAGAAATTGAGAACAGCCAAGGAAAACACCTTCTGGGGTAGCAGCCATTTGACCCTCCATGTCCTAATGGAAGGCTGAGTCCTCTTCTGCTTTAATGGCGCCTCACAGAGGAAGTAAGTTTGTAACTACCCATCCTGGTTTGCCCGGGAGAGTCCCAGTTTACACAGGCTGCCTGCGTGTCATTACTAACAGCGCCCCCTTTTACTCGTGAGTGCCGGCTTTGGGCGACAGATTATATGGTCACCTCGTTTACTCTGAGGGCTCTTTAAGAGTAATATGTTTAATGAAATTTAGAGAGTGTTCAGGGCTTCTCCAAAGCACTTACTGATGGTAATAAACACTAGAACGCTTGGGCAGGCTGAGTATTAAGTTCTGTCAACCACGAAAGAATGGGGAGGGGCTTTCAGCGATGAAAGCCCTTTTTCCTCACTTCGCTTATTTTGGCGGCACAGTCAGTCCGGCACCAGTGCAAAAGAGACACACCCTCGGGAGCTGCCTGCAGCCCAGTGCACTCTTATCTTTCCCCACCGTTGCTTCGTGCAGAAAACCGTTGAACTCGGGCTCGACAGAGGGCGTGTCTTGTTCACCATTATACATCCACAGTGTATCTGCCACAGGGCTTGATCCCGAGGAGGTGCCAAGTGTGCGTGTGTGCGTGTGCGCTAGGGGCACGAGAGGCTGCTGGGGTAATAGAACTGGCTATGGGTTCAGAGTCTCGTTTTTCTGCCCCTGAGTTACTTTTCGGTCTGGGGCAAGTTTACCTTGCTTTTCTCTCTGTGCTTGCTGTCTTGATGTGGTTTGTGATTACATGTGTGTCAGGTAGTGCCATGTGTATTATCATGTCAGATATTGCTCAGTTGTCATTGTTTAAAGCGTTTACAAATTCCTCACAAGTTGAAAAAACACCAGTTGGTTGGGGGACAGTGGGATAAGGAATGATTAACTTCAGGAAGAGAATCAAGAAGACAAAAAGAAAAGGGGTGTCACGCTCGTGATGAAGAAGAAGTAGGGTTAGTGGAACGTTTTAAAAAGTGAAATATTAGGCTTCTTGGCGTAAATTGCCAGAGTACCTCATGAGACCTGTTTGCCAACAGAAAAGGGATAGATGAAAGTCAGGGTAAAGGAAGTCACGGGGAAAACAAAAGGTGCCACACGGAGCCCTCCACACATGCCAGGCCTGTTACTGAGGCTTTTGCCTGCTTTCTGTTTCTTACAGCAGCCATAGGACTATTGTTCTCATTTTATTGAAGAGCAAACTGAGCCTCAGAGACCCCAGCTCCCTGCCAGGCCTGTTACTGAGGCTTTTGCCTGCTTTCTGTTTCTTACAGCAGCCATAGGACTATTGTTCTCATTTTATTGAAGAGCAAACTGAGCCTCAGAGACCCCAGCTCCCTGGCAGCCCTGTCACGTGCTGGCCTCACTCTCCTCCTCTTACACAGATGTGTAAAGTCCTGCCGGGCACGCCTTGGTCTGCACTGTTGCCTCCAAGTGGGTCCCCGTGCCCGCTTGAAACCATCACCCACACTGCCCCCACCCCCACAGCTTGTTGCCGTCAGCGTTGTCACCCACTGTTCTCCCGGGTCAGCCTCCAGGCCCTTTGCCCACGGTCACTGCAGCCCACCACTGCTGCTCCCCCCAGCTCCTGCTGGCATCATGGGGACGCTGTGTCCTGGTGGAGGACCTCCAGCCCTGTCATCCCATCCACAGGCACTTCTGTCTCCGTTTCTGCAGTCCTGCTCCCTTTGCCATCACCTCTCATAGGTTAGGAGCACTTAATACTCTTTCTTGGACCATAACCTCCTACCTTCTGTCAGTCACTTGCATACAGTCATTTCTGTGCCCTCTTCCTTTGACCTCCTTGAAATCTTTGTCCTTTGATTTCTCCTTTTCTTTAGAACTAGAGCTTTTCAGGTTTTACTCTCCTCCCTACCCAGCTTTCTGATTATCATATTTCCAGTCCATTTCTTCAGATCTGTCCACTTACCTGTTTTGTAAAATATGATCCATAACAGATAAATCCCCTGAATAAGTTTATTCTACCTTACCTACCTCTGGCCTCCAAGAGTCAGTTTATTAGGGCCCCTCACCTATGGACCAGAGCCTGTACTCCACTGCACAGCATCTGAGGCCTTCTGACATGTGCTGCTCTCATGTCTTCCCATAAATCCATACCTTTGCTATGAGATGCCTGCTTTTGTGCTGTTTGCCGGTATTCATTCTAGACTCCCCTTCTACCTACCTAACTATTGAAGGGTTTTAAGTGGGAGTGAAGTGATCTGATTTACATTTTAAAAAATGTATCACTGGCTGCTCTAAGAAAGAATGTTTTAGTAAGTAAGATCACATAAGAGAGTAACCACCCTGTTTTTAACAACCTAGGTACCTTGTGGGCCAACGCCTCGTGAACTATGAACGGAAATCTGGCAAACAAGGCACATCTCCGCCGCCTCCGCAGTCGTCCCAAGAATAAAGTGGTTGTCTCAACTACGTTGACCTTCCCCCGCCTTTACGTGTCCTTTTTTGTGGACTTCTCTCTTTGGAGATTTTCCCCAGTGATCTCTCAGCATTGTTTTTAAGTTAAGGGTATTTGACTTGGGTTTTCAGCATTCAGCAAGCAGCAGTGCGAGGCTCTGCTGCCCTTCCTGCATCTTCTGACATCATTGCTGTCTGAGGTCTGTATATGTGTAAATAGAAGTTCCTGGATACCCTAAAACCTTGGATTAAACAGAATGTGCATTGTACATCTTTAAACAAAATGTATATTAATTTATTAAATCTAGTTGTCACTTTATTTTGGACCTGCTGTGATCTTGACAGGAAATGTGCCACAGAGCCATAGTGCAGAGGCAAGACTTCTTAATGACGTCTTTTGGAATGCAATGTCCTGGTGTTCCTAGCAGTTCTTATTAAGTGAACTGTACATTCTGTCTTGGCTGTTCAGACCTTACCAAGAACGTAAAAGGAAGCAAGTAGAAATCAACAGTGGAGTGTCTGTGGTAAGAAAACATGAACTTGTGCTTCACTGTCAATCGTTTTTGGAAGTTATTTTGTATAACACCAAAGCTGTTGTACATTTTCTACTGCCTGATTTTTTTTCATGTGTCTGTGTTTGTAATATTGTATAGTATCTTGTGCTAAGTGAGGAAATTATTTTTAATTTTGATAATTTAATATTCCTAGTGATCAGCATCAGGAGTTGGGTTTTGTGTTTGTTAGGGGCGTGTCTATACTTAGAGAAAAGAAGAAGTCCAAAAGAAGATTTTTCCTTAGATCCTCCAGCCCCCTTTTCCCACACACAGCTGTCTTTTCGTCAGCAGTGGCCAAAGTCATGGAAGATCATAAATCTTATAGGATAACATCACCAGTGATACTGCATCTTCCTGGAATAAGGACATACTGAAATGTTTTGTCAAACGTAGATGGGGTTTGTGGTCTTAGATTGACAGCGTTAGAGAAGATGGGTTAGAACCCCTGGTCCTGCTGGTTAGTGCATCATTGGGTGAGGATTAGGGGCAGTGCATTTCTCCAAAGTTTCCAGAGCTTTTTGTTTACAGAATAAAACTATAAATAAAACCAACTTGATTTTATTTGACCAGAAGGAAGCTGACTGAGCTGGCCTTTTAACATAGGAGTACAGAATGTATTTCATTGGAAACATGCTGTAAAAATCTCAGAAAGCAGAACACTTAGAAACTTGGTTTTCCTTTATAACCAAAGCTTCAAGTTAGAAGTTTAGAGAAATAGAATGGTTGGGCATGTGATCCAGGTTTTTAATGGTGATGGTATATTGTAAGGGTAGTGTTTGTTTTTGAATGATAACTTAGTTCTCAGAGAAGATGGACAGCATAGATCTTAAGAAACCATAAAAGAATTTCCATATAGTATTAAAACCCATAGGCTTAAATCTGAGAATTTTTAAAATATGAGAGTCAGCCAAACATAAGTTACCAAAATCAAAAGCAACACGTTCTGGTTGTTTTATATTTCAACAATTTTTCCTGAAGTGGTAAGTGATTACTTTAAAACATCAGTATCAAAAAAAAAAAAAAAAAAAAACTCGACATAGGATTCAGTGTTACAGTTTTTGGCACTTTGTAGTAGCCCTTTCTCATATTTGAAATAAGGTCTTTGCTAGCCCTACCTTTACTTAGAAATTTAGTCCTACTGTAAAAATTAGGAGCATTTTAAACATAATGCCACCTGTCATGGTGTATGTCTATATCAATTGTTCTCTTTGGGAGAAAAATATTATCAAATTGGGCATATAACTTGATCGTGTTAATTTAAGTTTCTTTTTTAATTTTTCAGAGAATTTGTAGATCTTGATATAAAGTTATTGGAACACACTTATCTGTTTTACCAGAAAGAGATCTAGGCAGATATTACAAAAGATTAAAACTTGTTATTCTACAAAATTTTAAGTGAATCTTATCAGATATTTTGTAAAAAAAAAAACAAAACACCAAAAAACATATAATATACATATATGTGTGTGTGTGTGTGTGTGTGTGTATGTGTATATATATATATATGTATGTGTATATATATATATATGTATGTGTGTATATATATATATATATAT